ATATTATGTATATATGTCTTGTTTTAAGATGTTTGATTACCCCAAAACCATGATGTGTCCTGAATATGTTGCTTTAAGAACTTAAAAAACCAATAAAATTTGTTTTTTAAAAAAATGCAAACAATGCACCAACATAAAGATAAAGCCATGTGAGAAGACATCAGGGAAAAATGCTTTAGTCTACAAGCTCAAATTGAAAACTTTGGTAAAAAGCTTGATAAAATTACCAAATTTTCAAATCAACTTAAAAAGGACACCCAGATGCAAACAACAACAGCTAAGTTGCTGACAGATTTGAAGAAGTAATAGTTTGCCTGGAAAACTGAAGGCCTGTTGCAGAAGTCTGAAGGAGATCTGCATTTTACAGACTTAGAATTGACAGATTGGATGAATGATGAACTGGACTATCTTAAGAAGATTAATGGAGATGGGAGAATGGACTTACTATACCCAACTGGAAAATAATTTGGACTGGACTTTCCTGGGAAGATGGATCGATTTGGGAAAACGGATTTATTATATCTAACAGATAACAACTTACAAGAGATGTTGTATTTTGGTTTATGGAGAGAGACTGTCTTAACAATGGATATGGTGAAGATATTTACAGCAGAAGTCTAGGATTTTGAAAGAAATTAACCAAAGAAGATATTTGATCCTGGATGGATTAGAGATCATGGTTGTGATTTGTGGCAGATAAGCTGTTGTAGACTTTCTATGAGTTAAATACAATAACAGATTAACAGAGAGCTTTGAAGTTTAATTTTGCTGTTGACTTAACTGTTAACTACTTTGTTTTCTCATATAGTAGATAGAGAACAGGCCAAGTTGATTGTAAATAGATGTATAAGTTTATAAATTGTTGGCCTTTGCAAGGGGGAGAAACCAATATTGTTGCAATATATTTATCAATAATCAACCGGGGCGATAATATATGTGTATGTGTTTCTGTCTTTTGTCCTTTCTAATGCAAACTTTTAATGTTTTGTCTATAGTACTGTGCAAAAGTGTTAGGCAGTTGTGCAAAAATGCTGTAAATTAAGAATGCGTTCAGAAATAGAAGTGTTAATAGGTTATTTTTAATCAATTAATAAAATGGAAAGTAAATGAACAGAAATCCAAATCAAATCAATATTTGGTGTCACCACTCTTTACCTTCAAAACAGCATAAATTCTTACACTTGCTCAAAGTCAGGGATTTTTTAGGATTAGAGTCAGGTGTATGATTAACCAATTATACCAAGCAGCTGCTAATGATCATCAATTTCATATGTAGGATGAAACAAACAGCTGTGTAGAAGGCTTAAACTAGGTGAGGAACAGCCAAACTGCTACTAAGGAGAGGTTGTGGAAGACAGTTTTGTATCAGTCATACACCATGGCAAAACAGCACAGGATTAAGACAAAAGGTAGTTCTACTGCATCAGCCAGATCTCTCCCAGGCAAAGATTTAAAAGCAAATGGGTTTCAAACTCTTTTGAAGAAGCACAAATAGGCCATGTTGAGCACTGTAGATGTAGTGGTTGGCCAAGGAAACATAATGCAGGAGATGAAAGACACATCATGCTTACTTCCCTTTGACACTGGAAGACATCCAGCAGTGCCACTATTACAAAATTAGCAGAAGTCAGTGGACCAGGTATACCCATCTACTGTCCGGAGAAGTCTGGCCAGAAATGGTCTTCATGGAAGAATTGCAGCCAAAAAGCCATACCTCAGACATGGAAACAAAGCTAAGTGACTCAACTATGTACAAAAACAAAAACTCGGATGCAGAAAAATGGCAGCAGTGCTCTGGACTAATGAATCAAAATTTGAAATATTTGGCTGTAGCAGGAGGCAGTTTGTTCACGGAAAGGCTGGAGAGTGGTACAATAATGAGAGTCTGCAGGCAGCAGTGAACCACGCTGAAGGTTCCTTGCAAGTTTGGGGCTGCATTTCTGCAAACAGAATTGGAGATTTGGTCAGGATTAATGGTGTCCACAATGCTGAGGAATGCAGGCAGATACTTACCCATCATGCCATATCATCAGGGAGGCATATGTTTGGCTCCAAATTTATTCTGCAGCAGGACAACACCCCAAACATACAGTCAAAGTCATTGAGAACTATCTTCTGTGTAGAGAAGAACAAGAAGTCCTGGAAGTGATGGTTTGGCCTTCGCCAGAGCCCTGATCTCAATATCATTGAGTTTGTTTGGGATTACATGAAATGACAGAAGAATTTGAGGCAGCCTACATCCACAGAAGATCTGTAGTTAGTTCTTCAAGAAGTTTGAAACAACCTTGAAGGAACTTTGCTGAGTTCCTTCAAAAATTATGAGAAGTGTATTTAGAAGAATTTGATTTCCCTTCAGTTCATTTAATTTCCATTTTGTTATGTAGGGAGGGGTCAAACGCATCATACGTCAGGAGTCCCTATGTGCCCGCAAGAGAGCTAAGTCCAGCACGCCTTGAATACCTCTTAATTCCTGCTCATTTCCCTTGACTATTAGTAGCTCAGATTTTGTAGAGAGCTTAAACTTGCAATAAACCTTTATACTCACTTGAACTGTCTAAATCTCCTGTTGCAAGCAATGTATCAACATATGGTTGATCAGAAGAAAACGAACCCTACACTTGTGGGAAAACAGGAAGAGAAAAAAGTTCTACAAATGTCCTAGCTATGTAAATTTTCTATTTGATGAGTCTCAAATATTGCTCACGTGAGTGTATTTCACTAATCTGTGTATAGTAGCATGGAGGAAAAACTATGATCATAATATGATAAAATTAAAAAAAAAAGTGTTGAGATTTTTGTATAGGTACCATACAGTCCCATATTAGGCCGGGTTACTGGACAGTTACTCTCCCAACTCAATTCATTTTACAGGGAGGCGGTTGTAGGGAAAAGAGGAGGAAGTGATATTATGTATATTCACCATTTTGACTTATTTATAAATAATAAAAGTGGGATAAAAATCAAGTAAATAAATACAAAATTCTGGCAAAATGGGTTCTCATTGATTGATGTGATCCAAGAACAATCCGTGTTCAGGAAAATACTATTTTCACCCCTTAAAGTAGATTGCTGTATCACAGCAGCAGATTGAAAGAGAACCTGAAGCATAAAAAGCTGTGAAGACAAAGAAATTGGATATGGTGCCTAAAATAACTTCAGTAGGTAGTGAATTAAGAAAAAATTGAAGGAAACACAAATTAGAAACAATGCTTGAGGGAAATGGCATAAAGGAAATTATCTAGAAGAGACTTCTGTCGAAATTTTACTGATGAAGAAGAAATGGAAAGTTTGCCAAGAGAAAATGGTTCAAAGTAGTAGGACACAGTAACCAGGTTTGGGCACTGTATTAAATCATTATTTTAACCATGATTTGTAAATAAGCTCATAGTTTACAAGGCATGGTTGCAGATATGCTAATCCCAAATTACAGTGTGAATAATACTATATGCAAACTTAACTAATAATTTACGGTTTTGTGTTTAGTGTATGTACTAGGCCAATTTAACTTATTCTATAAATCAGTTTTAAAAGATTTAACACAGTGTAAGAACCTAATCACTAAGCAGGGATCTGAAATGCAGGAATCTGAAGAAATTGTAGAGATGACATGCAAAGTAACTGGACTGGTGCTCTCCTGGAAAATGGAAAAGGGCTTGCACAGGAAAACACAAGCTATGGAAACCATTGGCCAGCCAAAGACAAGCATGCGGAAGGTTTTCTGTCTTGAGATGTTACTTCTAAAAATAGCAAAGCATTTAGGGAGTTGTTAAGCTGTAGCTGTAGCTCTTGCTTTCATTCATCACTGACACAGCATTCCTAAAGAAGGACACTTGAAAATAAGAAACATACATTTATTTAAACCAATTTCCTCTGCTTTTTATTCTTAAAAATAGTATCTTGCCCCCCCCATGAATGTTCTACCTTCATGCATTTAAGCAAAAAGCCACTTTAAAGTTTTGATTTAGTTGTACAATGATACTTTCTTCTAAAACTTCATAAAATGGGACAAATGTTACACATTGTACTGAAATAAAAAAAACAAGCAGAATATTTGAAGTGTGCATACTTGATTCATTGTTCATCAATTCACTTCTTGGATGTCTCCAGCCAATTCTTTTTCACCACTGATTTCTTTTACCAGGTCTTCTAGGTTCTGCATTTCTGTTTGCAAATTCTTTTGAAGTTCGTGGTTGTCCAGTAAGAAATCTCTTACTATCTGTACTCTATTTAAATCCTAAGAGGAAAAATAGTCATGAAATACATTTCAACTGGTATAAATGTCATTCATTTCTGTTTTTTTCTCAAGTCATAGAGAAGCCTTAGCACTTAATCAGTAGCCTCTGGAACAGATTGGAGTGGTAGCCTAAGCACATCCAGATAATTTCACAAAAGAACAAGGAACTGACCTCTCCAAACTCAACCCAGTAATCTTTATGTTCACTCTTTCCATTAGACCAAAACTTTATTTTTTTTTATGTCCAGTATTTCTTTAAGCTATATTGTCAAGTTCAGTGGATTTTTAGACAAGTGGAAAACTTTGCATTTTCTGGATTGTATTTATCTTCTATATATTTTTGGAGTCTCGCCTTTTAAAACATTGTGGGAAGGAAATCAAACTCAGCCACCATTTTGTCTTCCTCTACCCATACAGTTTTTCCACTCATTTATCAGGGTAATAGGTTAAAAATTACAATTGAGAATAAAAGGTGAAAAATTGCAATGAACTCAGCACAAAGATTAAAATATAGCAGGAGGCACCAACCATACAGGTGAACATTCCCTTGCTCTTCCTATGGTAATTAAATGACAAAAGGTTGTTTCCTCCACGGGAGTACCCCCTCCACCTCCAATTAAATAAAGGGAAACTGACTGCAGGGTGCCCTGATCACACAGTGCTCCCTTTTGGAAGCCCATCTAACTGCACTTTCTTAGAACTTTTCGTGCTCTTTGGAGGAAAAAATACTAGGTTTTCCTAGAAAAGGAGATTGCAAGGGAGAGCTCAGGCTGGCCACTTTCTGACCAGTTGATTGTGTCTTATGCTCTCAAAATAAATTTCACCTCTGATTCAAGCAACTGCCTGCATACTATCACCCATTAGCTTCTGATTTTATACTTTATATCCTTATTAGATTACAATTTACAACAACACTGTTGTCAAGGGGAAACTATGGGGAGGTGAAAACAACAAAATACTCTTTAGCCAATCTAGTTTCACATTTTAAATACAAGCACATGAAGTTGTTTGATATTCTTTTTCAAGTTGCTTTGTTTGATCCAGTGCCTTGGTAATTTTGTTTTCCTTTACACTAAAAGATAGTTCCTAAGCAGTAATGTTACTGGTAGCTATTGAGGAAGTAAGAGAGTCAGTTTTATATCATAGCTATTCTTCGTACCAGAATAGCAATTGAATAACTCTGTGGTAAACAATGCTTCCAATACTTAATTCTCTGTTTCCAAATGAAGATTCAGAGCTTATACTTGGAAACCTGAGTTAAAAGTGATAATTATAAATATCTCACCTAACTCTTGCTCATGCAGGATTCATCGTAAAATACACACTATACATCTGTGACATAGGTCCGTCCAACTCTGCTTAAATGTGTTTAGCAAAGGAAAAATTACTACCTCCCAAGGCTGTCTAGTTTTAAAACAAGTCCTTTGGTTTTCAGTGTGACCTCTGAAGCAACAGAGAACAAAGCTGCTGCATCCTCGGCACAAGAGCCCTTGAGATATTTAAAGATTGATATCATGTCTTTCCATAATTGTCCACCTACCTTTCAGCAATTTCACACAAAAAGATTTGGGTTACAAACCCTTTACCATCTTGAAGTTCTTTCAGTCTTTTCTCTAAGCTAAAAGTAAAACCTTTTAGTCTTCCATTCTTGCACAGACTAGCAATATTTCTCTTTTCCCACTAAAATAAAGAGGTCTTTTTTAAAAAATAGAAGCGAAATACTCCAGTACTGGGAATACAGCTGTTCCAAGCTAATACATTATAAAATAGGAATTCCAGGGTTTTTGTCTATATAGCTCTAAACTTAGGTATTTAAATTACCTGTTTACCATAAAAACATGTCCCCAAAGAGGAGCTTCATGGAAAAGCCAGGGATAGGGAGCAGAACAATTTCTAAATGTCAACAATATTTAGATGCAGGTTCACTCATTAGGTGCTGTGTGTGCTACAATAAGTAGCCCTGTTTTCTATAAAGAACTAAAGAACAATAAAATTCAGATTTATTGAATACGGTTTCTTGAAGTATGAATAGCAATCTGAAATGCCTTTTTCCAATATACTCCTATAGCAAATTAATGATCAACTCCAGAATCTAAGTATGATTAATACTATATTGTTTTGATGTTTTTAACAATTAGGTCACCTCTTCTGATGTTATTCCACATTCTTTTGCAAGAAAACAGATTTCCTCAAGTCTCTCTTTCACCAGTTCTAATTCTGTTTCTCTGATCAGGCTTGGAGTCATTTCACCTTCCAGTCCATCAAGTTGATCTCCTGCTATGTGAACATTCCAATCAGATTCCAAGAGCTGTTGGGATAATTAAAAACAACACAATAAAAAACTAGTGAGAAAATCAAGGATAGAAGCAGACATTCACCATCTTAAGAAATCCAAATATATTGGTTTGCAATTCTTATAATGCCAAGACAATGACTAATAACTGAATATTAATGATCACACAGATTGGGAAGAACTGTTCTAAGAAACCAAAAGAAAAAGACCAATCCCCCTGGTTGATGTTAGCACGTTATTTAATAATATGCTGACCTTGCTGTTCTGATAGCTGCCTGAAAGCATGCTTATGCTTAAATAGTATGCAAATATTAAATAAGTTCAGCGTTGTTTGTCACTGGGCCACAAGTACTGAAGGAAATAAAAGTTATTCTTTTATAAAATGTAACAATGTATGAGACTGTATGTTTACTGTAGTGTAAATGTAGCAATGCACTGCCAATCTGTTTACTGTTTCCTGTCTATGTAAAGTGATCACAAAAAGTAATCAGCAAAGACAATAAATTATGACCTACTTGAGTAGAGATTACAAATAAACAAAGATAAGATCACAAAATGGAAATTACAAATAAACAAAGATAAGATTACAAAGGAAATTACAAATAAACAAAGACCACAGCGGATGGACAGAAATTGCTAGGATGACCTTTTTTAAATGTAAAGCAACTTCAAAGAATACAGAGAAAGGGAATGGGAGGGTTTCTTAGGCATGACTGCATTGTAAAAGGTATAAATTATGTAGCTTGGAAACTGCTCTTTGCGCTCTTGGAACCCAATCCATTTTGGGAAGGCTCCAAGAGGCCACGTTTGCAAACACCTTTCTTTTCTTTTCTTTTCTTATTATTATTTTTATGTTTTTCTCCAATAAAACTTTGTTTTGTTAACCAGACTTGTTTTCATATTGTGAGTATCAAAATTTGGGGTTTTTACATCTCACAGTACTCAGATTTCCTGCTATAATATAAGCTATTTTCTGAAACTCCGTTCAGCTTCCAAGAGTAGCCAGGGAACCTTGTTATGTGAACAATATACTTCTGGCATCCTGGACAGTTGTTTGTGCAATGAGCCACATGTAGCATCATTTCTCCACACTGAAGTATATCACACAGTTTCTAAAATAGTCTGAGAAAAATCCTTTCCGTAGAATTTTTAAGTGGCAACTGAAATTAATTGGATCTATATTAAAATCTATTTTTTAAAAAAACTTACATATACACCTACTCTTTGTTTAGACTAGGGCTTTTTTAACTGCGCTCCACAGAATAGGTTCCACGACTGACTATTCTTTAAGTTTATATGCCATTGATCTCACCATCAGACAACTCCAAACAAATTACTTGAATACAGCTAGGGCATCCAAATCATTTGCTCTTAGAAACACTGGAAATAGCAGTTGCTATTTTGAGGATCAGAGGTTGCAGGAATTTTTTAACTAACGGGTTTTATGGCCTGAAAAAAAATCCCGATTTAGACCACAAACTACACAGTGTCATTTTGTCCAATATTTATTAGAGTGCCAAACTAAGAAATATTAATAATTGCAGTCATGTAATATATTAGAAAACTTGCAAGTATTATTACCTTTTGTATCCTATGACAAGCTGTCTGAGCCTCAGGAACCTGGTAGAATTCAGTCAGCAAATTTTGGACATGATTTCCAAATTCTTTCAACCAGGAAAAAGAGACTTTCATATCTGCAGAATGCATTAGCTCATTGCGGCACTTTATCACCTAAAGATATAAATGTATAGCAAAAAGCATATTGTAAATCTGCTATGGGCAATGGCAGGGAGATCCAGTTCTCAAATTACAGCTCCGAGTTACACAAATTTTATGCCAGAACAACATAATGCTGTCAGTAGTACCAGCTCATAAACATTCCACATGGAAAATACATTCAAGAGTTATAGTCCATGAAGGAATATACAATTTTTAGTGACCCTTCTCACACAATAATCAACCTTATGTCTATTACACTGTGGTATTTGACATCTATAAGCATATACAAATTACTGAAAAGAGATCAGTTACATCTTTTCACAAAATATGAATAATTTAGAAAAAAGTTCAATTACGAATAATTGTAGAACAAGAAGAAGAAGGAAAAATTTTCTAGATTGCATTTATAATCTTTGCCAAAAGAAATATGCATAGCACTCCACAGGAAACAAACCCTTACTTTTCATTCCATACCATAGTATCACAAAAAGATGATTTTATTTCAAAAGGTTCAGTTCAAGATTTGATTATATTGTATTATTTTATTCATTTATACTAAAACATTAGGATTGGGCAAAAATACAGCTACTTAATGGTTACCTCAGTTAGCAATTTTCTAATCAATGTGCACATTTAGGATCAAGTTTCCTCTCACTGACAATAACACCTTCAGTGTGAAACTAATTAAGATCTGGTCAGTTTCAGGCAACAGTGCCAGCAGGGGGGAGGGTTCTAATCAACAAAGGTCACAGAGCTGAGTTTTTAACTGTGGTTAAAACTATGTAGGTTCCCCTGAAAGACATCCTGAAATGTCCATGTGTAGGCAAAGCAGGGATAAGAAGTCACAACATTGATCCAATAACTAGGTCTTGACAACTTTCTAAAGCTGAAATAAGTCTGTGGGAAGGGGGGGAAAAATCACCCAATCTCTGAGTTTTCTATAAATTGCAGAGACTTAGACAAAAGGGGAATAGTTACTTTTCTCCCTAAGTTTTGCCATCTCCACATAAGTCATCAATTCAAATGCAGAGAAGTAAAACAGAAAAAAAGTGATGCTGTTGTCTTTTAGAGAGGGCGGCAGTCACCAGTTATGCCTCAGGGACTATATTTCTGATTGCCTGCTAAGAATTAATAAAAGAAACGTCATTCAAACACTCATTGTTGGATACCTCTCTGATTTTCTTTGGATCAATATTGTTGAAGTGATCACAGAAAATGAAAAGGTTTAAGAGTGCTGATGCATCACACTTGTCAGGACCATAAGTATCGGCTTTCCCACGAGGCATATAAGCCTGAACAATAAAGAAAAACATACATGGTCAGTGCTGTTTGTTCCTGTCTCAGAAACCAAGAAAACATTATTTCATAACTGAGCTTTATATCAGAGAATAAGATTAATCAAATGAATGCAGGTAGCAATAAGTGGTTGTAATCTTAGGTTTCTTGTGAACAAGAAAAATGGCTTTGGCTCAATTTATTTTTGCAGATGTCATTTTCCTATTTACAATTTTACTGACAGCCTTTGTGGGCCTGTCATATTGCTAGGAATCATGGGAGGTTGAAATCCAACATAATTGTATTCCAAAGGTCAGTAGGCAGAGGCAGGCAGGCATATTTGTGCTTTCTCTTTCTCTCTCTGCACGTAAACACACAGGGTATCAGTGTAGCAATATCCAGGAAGAAAGACTGAGGCCTTCCTGGTTTATCTATATTACTACCGTAAATTGTGCAACCCTCTGAATTCAGTTCAAAGAGATACTTCAGAACAAATGGGCTGCTCTAATGAAGGGCACGGGGGTGTTACATTGCATTCCTGAACATTCTGAAACTCCTTCTGCGCTAAATCTGCAGCACTGCATCACCCTATCTTTACTACAAATTGTACTATATGACACTCAGATGCTGTTAGCATTTTCTAATAGAATGAAACGCCAAAGCACGAGGTGGCAATGCACATACTGTACTATCCACAGCAAGAATGCATTTGTACAATCTTACACCAATGCCCATGTGTTTTAATCTCTCCTTGGGAGTATCAGTATCAGTATCACAGCCCCCCCCCCATTGCTCCATTTTTGAAATTTATTTTATGGTCTTGCATTACCTTTGCCAGCTCCCATGAATTAGAAGGCCAGAGCCAAGGCCTGCAGTTCCCCCAATAAATATCCCCCATCTTGTGTGTATGATGGCTCAGAATCTCCTTTTTCCATTCTTTACATAAGGAGCAGCTAGGTTGAAACTGCAAAACAAAAGAAACACCAATATAAACAACTCTCCAACCCCACATGCTACAATCCTTTACCCAAGGGAATCACAAAGATTATTTTAGATTTTTTTTTCAATTTGAAAGGCCAAAAAATATTAGTTCCAAAAGAAAAAGAAAGGCATTAGGTGCTGAAGCAACAAAAATCTGTAATTTTAATGGGTTACTCAGAAGTGTTCCAGACTGGCATCCAATAGGATCCTCTATATAAATAGCAAGAAGGACTGGGACTATTTCTGTGAAAAATGTCATAAAGCTTTAGAAACCTAGAAATGGAGGTGAGGAGGAATTCTAGCTTATAAATTACCTCTGCCAATTGAAAATTGTTTTACTGTTTCACCAAAAATGAGTTGGATTAAAAAACTGTCATTAAGTGTCTGATTGATCTTTCAGCTTTAATTCAGTGTATCCATTCTTGAGAATGTCTTTTCACATTGTGGAAAAAAGTCTTCAGCAAATTTTATTTGATCTCTGCATACTTCAGTGCACCTTTGAATACAAATCATAATCTGCATCTGGATGTGTAAAAGAGCTTGTGTGATTCTGCCTAATAAAGAAGAGTAGATGTAAAGACTTTCCTGCTGATTAATAGTTAAGAAAACTTTGAAATGGAATATAAATTGGCATGTAACGACTTAACAATCTTTTCAGTGGTCCTTAAAAAGGGCAATGGCTAAAAGAATAGTAAATATTCCTGTTATGTTTTGTTGTGCCCATTCTGACTAAAAAAAATTACATATTTTTTTTGATATTTTCAAATAAGAGGTGTTCCTGCATTATATCTTTTGAGCTGATTTGTGAATTGCTGAAATACAATTTGCTAAGCTAGGTATTTATTCTGAGGGCTAGGAATTAAAACGAGGCTCAGCTTTGTAACAGGCCCAGAAACTAGGGGCCAGTTAGAGAACCTGCCCTCCATTCCAATTAATTACGGCGAATCTATCATACGCTATGTAAAAAGAAAAGGCAAATGCCGAGTGTTTTAGCGGGAGGGAGCCTCTCTCTCTCCTTCCCTTCACAAGAGGAGGCGCTGCCTGGCGAGCCGGATTCTTTGTTCTATTCAAGATTTCCTCAGGCAAGCCCGCCCCTCTCCCAGATGTTTACGTGGGCGGCGCCACGAGGGGGCGGTTAAGGAGAACGAAACAGACCGGAGGAGGGCGGCGCGAGTGGCTCAAAATCCCCCTCTCTTCTCGGGGAGAAGAGTATATTCGCGCCGAAGAAAAAAGGACGAGGAGGAAAACAGCCGAGCAGGAAGGAGGCGGGACTGGAATTAAAATGTTCCGCTAAGGCAGCCTCCCTCGAGGCTCCTCAATCTCCTGGAGGTTGCTGGACAGGATTTGTATCCTTTCCAGCACCAGGCACAGGAAAGATGCAAGTATTCTACGTGAAGGAATTGGAGAACGCGCGTCGATGGTTTCCCAGAAGGGAATCCAACCCGGGCAAGTTCAGCGCAAACTGGGAGGCGATCGAGTCCGCAGAGGCCACGTAGCGCGAGGTCACCGGCTCCTGCGACTATCAAAGCTCCGGATCCGGGGTGGGAAGCCTCACCTGCTTGCCTCGAGGGACGCAGCGCCCGCCGCACTGAACGCCTGACGGGGTTAAGCGAGCGGAGTCGCCCGCGATCAGCCGGCGATGGAAGGCGTGAATTTGCTCGCCGGCGAAGCGCTGCAGGGCAGCTTTCAGGAGGAGGAGGCTGTGCCCGGCCTTCAGCCAGTTTTTATATTCGGCGCAGTTCAGCCGCGCAGCCAGTTCCGCCATCGCCAGCCCGTACCCGCGTCGCCTGGGAGTGGCCAGATTTGGCCGTGTGAAAAAGCGGGGTGGATATCTGTCGTCATTTCGCGAAGAAGGGCTGAAGCTTTTGACGACCCACACTCAGATTCCCCTTTCCCCCTCGAGTAGTTACTTCACAGTAGTTACTTTTCACCATTCTCAAGTTAGCAGTCATCCCACCGCGATCCAATCTTTCCTCCGCACGAGACCTAATAGGGGAACTGCATTCTACCGTTACGTCTCGGGATAAATTCCCCTTCCAAATAATTTCCTGGAAAATAGCGCCCTACAGAGGAACAGAACAGCAAAGTTCCTGTAAGCATAGCCTTCCCCTAATTCGATGCCCTCCTTGGATGTTGGATTTTCCTAACCCTCCAAGCACGTTTCTAAACTCAAACGCTTAGCAGCCTTTCACCATTCTGAATATGGCTTCTGTAATCTATGTAAAAGCTGGCTTTTCTTTTTTTGCATTCTGCACCAGCACTAAACCAGGCCGATAGAGACCTTGTCCACCTCCATGTTTTAGGAAGTTACAATACTGTTTTAATTTAGTTCTTGAGTTCAACTAGCTACCTGACATCTAGCAACAGGAGGATATATCCTCTTTTTAGTCCTTAGGTCCTACATTAAAATCAAATATTGTTCAGCTTGTTGAATATCTTAACGTGTTTATCTTTTTGTGAGCAGCTTTTCTTCGTGAGGCAAGCTTCCTTAGTAAACACAAACTGAAAGTTAACGAACTCAGCTCTCTGACTTTTATTGGTTGATTGGTAGCTTGTTGCCAGCTTAATCAGTTACCCACTGAAGGCTTTTGCCTCCAACTGGCTCTTGCACATCCCTGCAATTCAAAAACCAGTCTTTCTGCTCCTGGAAAAAATTCATGTATATGTAGACATAAATACATTTTGTTTTTGCAGTTTTTCATCATAATTTTTGTAACAGATGCCAAGAATGTGCCCTCCTCCCATTTGTCCATCTTTCCAATTGTCCCCATCTTCCTTTGCCTATGTAGATATCTGGTAATCCTAAATTTAACACACAGCATCTTCATGCCATTAAGATGTCCCACAGTTGGACACAATAAATTAACTGACAAAATACAGCTGCAACATGAAATGGTCACCTTATGTTGCTATTTCCAGCAGGTTTCTTGCTATTCCCCTTGGATGAAGAATTACCAATACAGAACATATTTTTAGTTCTGACTTAGCTATACTGAATATGACTTTCACCTTTTCCCCTTATAGCCCATCAAAATAAACCCTTCTATTTAAAAAGGACCTGTTTCAAATTCATCTGTCATTTAGCACATAAATTTAAGAAGCTGGACAGAAGGTACTAGACTACTAGAACTCAAGGCAGCTGACAGCAAGGTACTGTCTGAGAACCAATAAAGTTGAGGAAACGAACAGGCATCCTCATAGCTGCTCCGGGCATTTCTGGAAATCATTAGCTTTACTAAAAGCATCTGGCAACATCCTACTATTTGATTTGATACAGACATGATTGCCAACAATGATGATCTAATGAAAAGCGCAAAATACAATTCTGAGTGAACCTTACAGGGTTTTTTTCCTATATAAATACACATTTTAAAAGTAACCCTTTATTTAAAAAATCTGATTTATTAAATATTGTTTTGGGGGACATGTTTATAACAACTCCATTTTTAACATTTTAAAGCAGTAATATTAAAATACAGTTTCAATATAAAGTTTGTCACAGTTTTACAGTATTCAAAAAATGACAGCTCTGCTTTAAAAAAGGACTAGTACACCAAGACATCAGAAAAAAACATTTAAATAAACAAATTTGGCATTTTCATAATCTTTGAAGTATAAAACAGAATATTAACTCTTATTTACTGCCAAGCGGATACATAAATTTATTATGAGTCTGAAATGTCTTCTTAAAACATTTTAAGAGTGCTGTACCAAGAAAAAAAAAATTGATGAAAGTGCATCCCTGAAAGTAGGCCAATCCATTGTATCAGCTCTTTTAAAATTGTGACACGTGAAAATGTCTCTTCCATTCTAAGTAACCAAAGGCTTTATTTCAGAGTGTTTTTCCATTTCATCTCATTTTTACCCTTTGTATAAAAGCCTATGGGCGCCCACCAGGGGGCAATGTAAGGTTAGCCATTAAATCACGAACAGCTGCAAAGATTGTACACTCACCTAGAACAAGGGAAAGAAAAACAAATTAGAGAAGTGGGATTATGTTATGGCAATGATAAATATCAAAATGTAAACAACTGTAACAGTAACAAATACACAATTTATGCACCATAACCAATTTCAATGGTCTATATAACTGCTTGGTTCTAACCTATTATTAGAAAGTGTATAGTTGGTACAAAAAATAAAAGGTATGTCTTTTAAATACCAATTACTACATAATATGTGCACATTTATCCTAGCCAACCTAATGAGATTTTCCATATGCAGGAAAAATCATGCATTTAAAAGAGCCAAAAGCCAAAATGTTGGTTGTGGATTAGCAATCAAATTCTGTTTGCCTGTAAATATTTTTCTCAGTCTCCCATGTATACTATCCTGTGCTCCCGTAAAGGAAATGTGAATGCTAAACTATATTGCCAAAGAGTGACCAATTCATACTAATATTACTGAAGAACACTTTTGATGATGATTAGAAAATGCAAAATAATTGGACAGCTACTGCTGGCATTGCTGTTAACAGTTACATTAACTGTTAAACTCTGTAATATTTTTCAATCTTCAAATGAAAAAGTTATTAAATCAGAATAAGAAGTCAATAGTATTAGAAATTAATTATATCAACACTATACAAATCATAAAACAACTCTAGGAAAATCCCAGCACTTTTCTTGACAAGAGACTCAAAGACAAAAGAAAAGCCACAATTTCAAAAGTAATAGCTCAAGCAGAATGTTCTTTATTTTTAACTTGGCAAAAACTCCACAAACCATGCCTACAGCTTTTGAAAGTACTGCTGTATTTACCCTTTAAGGAATACAATCTGTGAAGCCTCTATAAGACAGGAAGATTTCTAGCAGAGAGTATATATGTTACGTACATGTACACTAAGCTTCAATTTACTATTTCAAAATGATAAAGTAGTGAAAAGTAGCCATGGGGTTGTCTCAAAACTTCCATTTAGAAGGCATGCATTAATTATTTTGATGCCATTATGTTTCATAGTGATGTGAGAAAAGATGTTGCAAGTTTAAAACCATAAATGCTAATTTTTATTTTTTTTCCAGTTTTGGTTAAGCCCCAAGTGTAGAGTCAGATGACCAATGCCCCACTAATTGTTTAATTACAATCTATAACTGCATTTCCCCTCCCACAAGCATCACTGCATAAGTAATTCACAGTTAAGCTGCTCTCTAAAGCATGCATGAATTACAGGTGGCCCATGTAATATTCCAAATGCTAGTAACTATTGCATGAACATTGGATAATTCACCTTGAACTATATACCTTGGTAGAAATATATGGCTAACCCTCCCAAAATCAGTTACCTCCATGACGATCAGAGGTTCAGATGGAGTATTACCAAAAGTAAAGGCAAGCATTTGAAGAGGCACCATCCATACCACCTCAATCCTATAAACTGCTTACATATAGTCGTGGTGTATACAGTGCAACTTAGAATCAGTGCTCATCAGTATGATCATACTACCCTATAAAGCCAATATAATTATTTGTAATTTCAAACCAAGCCAAAAAGCAGTTAACAAGAAAAGAAGAAATCTTCTGAGAGGTTAGTGTCTTGGGCAGAAATTGCAAACCCAAGAATAAAACTGTTGAAAAAAAGTGCATTTCAAAAGTTTCTAACACTTTTATTAAAGGAAAAAGAGAAACTGAATACAAAAGCATCTCACAGAAACAAAGAAGGCAGCACAGAAGAGAAGATACAGTCAGGGCAAGAGTTAGTTATGAAATACAGAAAATAAAGCTAGTACTGTAATATGCCACTTTATAAATAATTTATAAATCGGTCCATTTTGCTGGCTCCCCAACTTTCCTTGAAAGAGTACAAATGAGAACAAGATAGGCAACCAGCCTCATAACAGTTAAATTACAATAAATGGGAAGATATATTCCTACAGTGCAGGATGACTAACAAGCACTATTTTTTACACAAGTATATACAGCAAGACACATGGTAATGCTTAAAATAATGTTAACTATGACCACAGTAGTATAAGCAACTCATCAAGTGCATTACGCTTCCTTGGTCAATGATATAAAGTCCATGTCATGTTGATAATACAACCCTTCTGACACCACAAAGGTATATTCAGACAGTTTATCACGTACATGCATTAACTGAAACCAGGTGAAGGCAAAGCAAGATTCATGATAAAGTGCAATATTTAAACTTTAATTGTTGAGACTCTGGCAACTCAAGCATGCACATGATTTGCCCTACTGCACATGTACAGTACCTGGCCGTGGTGAATTCAGTTCTGCAAACCTCTTTAGAATATTGCTAACCATCATGGGAGCAGCACCGGAAGCGTTCTGCTGCCGGGGAATGTCTGCCTGCTGTGTGGTACCTGAAGCCATGTCGTAAATGATTGGAACGATTATGCTCGTGGCTTCCTGTGGAACTGCAGATTTTTGTGTTAGCTGAAGCTGCCAAACAGAACAATATATACAATGATTACCACAGTAATTCTGCATCTATACAGTATTTTAATATCACAAATTTAATCTGTAATATTTAATTGCTTAATAATTCTAGTAGAGCATTATTAGAGGTGTTCATGGAAAAGCAAGATGAGCAAATAATGATACATGCGCCATAATCTTACACAAATGACGCAACTTATGTATGTAATTGTATCATTTGTACTTGTATCAATTATATCACGACGCGTGTGCCATTTTACTATTGTTAGGGCTTGTTAATGATTGCTGATAATAGCTATACCTACATATATGAGGTTAAAAGGCTCTGTTTCGGAAGAAAGTACGTGCCTTTTAATTGATTTTTTCCCCCTGCTGCTTGGAATTCTGAAAGTTGCTGTTCAAAAACGTATTAGTTTAGGAAGGCTGAGCTATCATAACAAATAGGAACTATTTTTTTAATCTAAGTAACTTGACTAGTTCCGAAAAGTTTGTTTCTTTTAAAAGATGCTAATATAGGTTATACTAGTCATAGCTCAGTAAAAGCAGTGAATTAACTTTATTACACGTGTTCTTAAAGACCATGCTAAATAGAGTCATCAGCATTCAGCACCCACTATTTTACTTACAAAGAACAACATTTTCGATTTCAGCACAACCGCAGGTGTTCCTGGAGGTGCAATTGGTGGAGCACTTGGAGGAATTGTCAAACAAAACTGCACATTCCATTTCAGCTGGCTTGCCTGATCAGGAAACTATTGAATAAAACATGCCATTGAAATAGATAAATAATCCACTTTCAGTTTAAGCAGAGAAAATATTTGCAACAATGATGAGAACAAAATGGACTTACCAGCTCCAGTTTCATGATGTGTACGCAATCCCGAAGAATATGTGTAGGGGCTCCTAACAGCTTGGTGAAGGCTATTAAAGTATTGGCTTTGAATGGTGGCCCTGCAACCTGCAATAAATGCAATATTTTTATAACTTTTACTTAGGTAAGTTTTACCTGGCTTTAGCTCCAGAATAAATTATAATTTCTCTAATTGGCAACATTGCAAAAGTTTTAGTTTAGTTCAAAGGACTATCACAAAACTGGGAAAAGCTGGGTCAGATGCCCATGGTTGGATACTGCTTTTAAAATCTTTTTTCAATGTTTCTCTGCTCCTGATCGTGGAACAGTGGCTTCTGCTCTTTCCATGAAAATCAGTTCAAAGACCTTTTATCTCTTATTGACTGCCCATGAAAAATCACAGCAACCTAACTATTCATTAAGCCCTCAGTTACATTACAATAGCATGGAAATATACATACCCTGGTTTCGAAAAATTTCTCCAAAACTTGCAATTCTTCTTGTTTCCACTGGCCTGCAGTTTCAGGTGCTACTTTTAGTTGCAAGGTCTGGTTAGTTTTGGGATTAAGGGCAACTCTGCACTTCAGAACATCTGTTTTGAACATGATCACTCCAGGTTCATTGGAGTTGATTAGCTGCAGCTGTTTTAAAAGAAAGGCCAAGAGATCTGATTGAAATGAAAGTTCTCATCCAGGCTTTATTGTAATCTGAACTGGAACAGGAAGTTTTATTTAAATGTAAATGAAAGGCATCATTGCTACTGGCTGATGAAATTTAACAGGTTCCTCTCTACTGTCAATAATTAATAGCAAGTTCCTTAATGATTAGTACAGTAGCTTTATAAAAATAATTTATTTGAACATTTAAATTGTGAAGAACTGCGTATTGCTTTATACTCCTACCACAAAAAAGTACTTTATATCAACTCAGCAATGAGCATTGTCTATTTGATACCTTAACAATTCAACGCATATTTTTTCCTGAACTCCCCAGATATGAAATATATCTTCCATAAGATTCTTATTTTGCTACTAATTGTAACAGATTTCTGATGACTTGAACAACAAACAAGTTCATGGATGACTCAGAATTTGGACCAAATGTTTCCAAATACAGGTAGTTCTCAATGTATGACCACAATTGAGCCCAAAATTTATGTTGCTAAGTGAGGAATTTGCCCCATTTTATGACTTTTTTTTAACTACATGTGTTAAATAAATCACTGCAATTATTAAATTAGTAACATGGTTGTTAAGTGAATCTGGTTTTCCCATTGACTTTGCTTGTCTGAATGTCACCAAAGAGGATCACATGAACCCAGGACACTGTAACTGTCCGAAATGTGAGTCAATTGTCAAACGTCTGAATGTAAATCATGTGACTATGGGAATGCTGCAACAGTCATAAGTGTGAAAAGTGGTCATAAGTCCTTTTTTCAATGCCGTTGTAACTTCAAACAGTCACTAAGTGAACTATTGTAAGTCAAGGAATACCTATATAAACACTAAAGATGCTTTCCAACTTGCTTTCCTAAGAACTTAGGAATCTTTTAATAAAAGGACTGGTAATAGAGTAGTGGATGAGCCATATTTCGGATAAACATGTATCGTTTCAAATGCTTTCAAACAATTAAAAACATGGTTTGCAAAAAGTAGAATTTCTACTTCCACACATTCTGAAGCTAGGAGAAAAATGAAGTTTTGCCTTTCAGCAACCGCTAATAGAATTAGAAATTTTAATCCTATTAGTACCGTTTCCTGCTGAATAATCCTTTGGAGATGCCTCCTCATAATAACTGATCCAAGAAAACGTTCAAGTGGTGAACAAAGATAACTTCCCGCAAGTCCTGGCATGAGTCCAGGGGTTGGTGAGGGCAGCAATAAAACATTCAAGGCACTGTGAGTGAGAATTGTTGGTATGGATGCAGCCCAGGAACGGTGAGGTAGTTTACGCGGTGGAGGCATATTGGTTGGCACTGCTTGAGAACCTAGTAAAAATAAAGAAGATCTTACTCCTCCTGCCCTTAGATAGAATTGCAGACTCACAGTGCTTGGTGAATTTCAACAAGACTTTGCCTAGGGTCCTATACCACGAACAATAATTCTTCAGCTTGATCCCAGTCTTGCCCAGAAATATTAAAAATCTGGATGTCCTTGTAATTATTATTACAATAACACTAAAAATATTTCGTATTTATAGCAGCCTATATTATTTTGTATATAAACTGAAATTATGAAAATCTTATCAACCAATTTTAAACTTTGGAGGCTGAACAAACTGTAAATGTACAATGAATTGCTATTTCTGTATGAGCTTTTTCTTGATTTTTTTTAAATCACACCATTTATTATATTATTTGCTTTACTTATTGTTGCCATTTATGTTATTTTAAATTGATGTTTTGATTGTCACTGTTGTATTCCTTGTAAGCCACTGAGAGCTTGTTGATGGTTGGAGATAAATCCAGGAACTAAGTAAGTAAGTGAGTAGAGACAGTTTGGTGTAGTGACTAGAAACTGTTAAGTTCTGGTATCACCTTAGACACAAAGCCAATTGGATGATCTTAGGCCAGTGACTCCCTCTTAGCCGAATTGGGCAATGTCAAACCAGTTCTGAAATCTTGCCAAGAAAGCTGTAGAGACTTAGTTAGGCAATCACCAGGAGCAATACTAACTTAAAGGCACACACACAATAATAAGTCTTTCTGAAATTCTAAACTGCTTAGCCATTTTCTAGCTTCCAAAAGTATAAACATGAACCCACAAATTCTGTACATTTGTGTACATTATTTGTTTCTAGGTGTTTGGAAATTGCATACTTATTGCTGTCACTAGTCCCATTGTGGCTTCTAAGTTCATTCTTAACTCAGTTGCAAACTTGCAGCCTATTATCCCATCAGAAAAACCAAACTTTGTTAAGTTTGAGAAAACTCCAAATGCAGAGCATGCATGCATTCATTCATTCATTTATTAATTATCATAAACATAATAATCATCATTTGTCACCTATCTCACCATGGAGCTACTCTAGGCAGCTTACAATCATAAAAAACAAAGAAATGAAAAAGAAGTTTAAACAAAGCGAATGTAAAATAATAGAACAATAAAATAAACAAGAAAAAATAAAACAAAGAATTACCACCAGAGATTTGGTATTGCTGCTCTTATCATAAAGTAACACAATCCAACTAAATAATTATTGCTTGGAGTTTATTTAGTGTCAGTAACAAACTTTATGTAAGTTATCTGTACTGAAAATTGACTGATTGAATTGAAAACAAATTAGCAGGAAAATAGCACAGTGCAAGCCAATCAGCTAGTTACCAATGTTTGCTTTTCTTAGGCTTCCAATGAATGGGGTAACTAGAGAAACTCTAGTGCTTTTCTCCTCTCCTGACTTTGCCAGTACTGCAAAGGCACTCTCCACTTTCCTAGCCCCTTTGGTTCTTTAATAGCCTCACCTCAGCCACTGCCACTATTCTGAGGCTTGAATGGTGGAATAACTAGCAGCCTACCACTCTTCCAATTTCCCGGTTCCTTCCCTTCTCTTAGCCCAATGGTGGCAAACCTATGGCACGGGTGCCAGAGGTGGCACTTGGAGTCCTCTCTGTGGGCACACGTGCCGTTGCCCCAGCCTTGCCTCCCCCCGTGACACCCTCCTCACCAGCAGCCCTCCTGGAGAAGGGCTGCCCCCAAGCATGGCCCACGCGGAGCAGTGCAGTCAAGGACATGGCAGCCAGGCAGCGTAGACAAGACTCTGCCCTCACACCCCATCATGCAGTTGATGCTGTGGGGCGTGGGCAGAGGGTGTGGCTGCCATGGCCTGCTGGGCGATCTACAACGGGCCCTGGAAGCGGTGAGTGGCCCTGCGGGCAGGTGGGGTGAGGGCAGAGCAGGGGGTGGAGCAGGGGCGGGGCCAGTTTTGGGGCACTTGGTCTCTAAAAGATTTATCATCATTGCCTTAGCCCCTGTTAGCTTGGGATTTTCCCTGCTCCCTGCCCTTCAAAACCTAGAGGAAAACTGCAACAACATTCTGCTCCAGGCATGGACCGAAACATTCAAAATGTTTTAAATCAAGTATATATTCCCCCACCCCAACAGCTGTTCCATGCACAGAACTATTTGTGCATAAAATATTTTGTCTCCTTAACACACAATGGCCTTCCCCATTGTGACTGAGCTATTACACAAGTTGATCAAGTACCCTGCCACCTTCAGTGATCTCACCGGCCATTGTGTTCTCAATTACCGCATAATAAAAGCTCTGGCTTTTATGAGGTGATCTAAATTATTTAGCTGAAAAACATGGAAACTTGTAACAAAACAAACTTCTTAAATATTTGAGGAGTGTTTTTCAGACATTCCAAATGATGCATTCCTTCATTTCAGTTTATAGTAATTTATAATGCTATGTTGAAAGAAAAAAATAATGCTATAAAAGGGCCTAAGAAAAACCTGATGAAAAGAAAGCCACAAATGCTATTTATAGAATATATTGAAAAATGATAGGCTGAAAGAAAACAGGAGAAGTAAACCAGGTGTGGTTTAACCAATGGAGTAGCTATGTAGTTGTAGGCATACCTTGCTATGTCCACATGAACCCTCTATTTCACAAGTTGCACTGGTTGTCAGTGTGTTTTCAGGTTCAAATCAAAGATGACTATATAGTTATCACCTATAATTGATGTGGCCTGAGGCCAGGTTATTTGAAAATCACCTATCTCTCATGGTTTCTGCATATCTGGTGTATGCTATCAGAGTTGATGCACACCAATTTCCTTTAATTAAACGGTGCCATCCCTCTGGACCTAATAAGTGTGCTTTTGTTGTTGCGGCACCTGCCCTCTTAAGATCCCTTCTGAAATTCATGTAGCTTCCACTCTGTTGGCATTTCATAAAGCCCTAAAATTCTGACTTTTCTCCCAGGCTGTGGGTTAGAATGTATGAAGCCTCTTGTTGAATGTGTTTTTGCATATATATTTATATTAAGTGAGCAGTTCCCTTGTTTTTTTCGTATTGTTTTAATTGCTTAATATATTGTAAGCCAGCCAGCGTCAGTTTAGAATTGGACAATTTCTAAATTGAAGTAAATAAGTGCAAAATTTTAATATATATTCAAAGACTGCATCTACGCCTAACAACTGGAAGGATGTTACTATTTTCTAATATAATGGGAAAGGTAGGAAGAGTGAATGCAAAAACTAAAAAAAGAAATTAATTTATTAACAATGCCTGGGAATGTATTTGGAAGAATTTTAATTCAAAAGACAAGAGGTGATAATTAACAAAATTTGGGGAAAGGAGTATGGCTTTATATAAAGCAGGGAGTGTGCATATCAAATTTATGCTCTTTAGCAAGTTACTGAAAAATATGGAAGTTCATTGTGTACTTTTTGACTTACGGAAAATGTATGATAATGTGAATGAGTATGGATTATTAAATGTTTTGCATTAATATGTAATTCAAGATTGGCTGCTGAATGTGCTAATATAATAATAATATGTTTAGCAAATGATTCCACACTAAGCAAAAATAAGCTTGTGTGATGTTCCCTTAATATGCCTAATATATTTATAGAAAATTGGTGATCATAGAAGTTAATTGGGGATATAATGGTATATGTATTTTGTATGCAGATGACATCACTGGCTGAATCATTTCCAGCAAATGTTAGGGCTGTACAATGCAACAACAAAAATATGTCTCAAACATAGATATGAAAATTACTGTATAAAAAGTCAAAGGAAATTGTATTGTAGGAAAAAATTGAATAACAAAGTACAGGCTACATATATATGGCGTAACTTGATAGAATCTTTACCGAAGATGGGAAAGTGGACAGAGAAATTTCAGGAGAAATGATATAGAAATGTTTTGGGAATTATATGGTCTACTGCAGGGGTAGAAAACCTTGGCTCTTTTATGACTCGTGGACTTCTGGAATTCCACTCAGGAATTCTGGGAGTTGAAGTCCACGAGTCATAAAAGAGCCAAGGTTGCCCACCCCTGGTCTACTGCAATGAATCAATGTTTGTCAAAGGAAGTGAAAATGATTCTAAGAGCATGCTTCTGCCCATTGGAAGTGAGAGATGGGTACATGATGAGAAACACATACTTTGGAACTTACTTATATTTCAGTAGGAAGACTGATGAATGTACTAGGCCAGTGATGGCAAACCTTTTAGAGACTGAGTGCCCAAAAACCGGCCCTTCCCCGCCACCCCCACCCACCCCTGCTCCACCCCCCGCCCCTGCCTGCTCCGCCCCCACCCGCAGGGCCATCCACCACCTCTACGGCCTGCCGCAGATCACCCAGGCAGCCCAGCAGTGCCATGGCAGCCACACCTTCCACCTGTGCCCCGCAGCATCACCTGCACGTGACAGAGAGCAAGGGCGGAGTCATGTCCCTGCTGCCCGGCTGCCATGTCCTTGGCTGCACTGCTCCACCCGCCATGCTCGAGGGTGACTCTCCTCTGGGAGGGGCTACTGATGAGGAGGGGGCCATGGGGGGAGGCAGGGCTGGGGCAATGGTGCGTGTGTCCACAGAGAGGGCTCTGAGTGCCGCCTCTGGCACTTGTGTCATAGGTTCGCCACCACTCTACTAGGCTAAGTTATTTGGAATTGGCTAACAAATCAATAAATAAAGTTCCACCAGCCTTTTATTAATTATATTGCTATGGCACATCAGTAAGGGAGTTGATGTGGGTTGTAAAGAAATACTGAGTACAACTGAATGGTTACCTCTGTTAACGCAACAGATAGCTATTTATGCAACCAGCTATTGCTCATACTTACTTGTTCCTGCTCGTGGTGAATGAGAAGCATCTGGTATTGGAGAATGTAAGGAAGGATTGCCTGGTGACATCCCAGGCATACGTGCTGCTGGAGAGGGACCAGACACCTGAGGTGAACCTGGCCAATTCCCGGCACGTTGACTGGGTGACATCATTGTGTATGGTGAACTAGGGTCTATTGTGCCTGTGGAAATTCCAACTTCTTGAAAACAGTTTTCTGAGTAATATGGTAAAAGTATTAAGAAACTACAAGAATATCAGAATGGTGCAGCCATAGTCTATCTAAACCTGGATATTTAAATACAATAAAACCTCTACCTTGCCTGCTTTCACTCTATCATAATCAAGAGGAAAAAATCGAAAGTATCCACTTAGTTCAATTAACTGCAATTTGTCACTCATTACATATGAATTAGGAATTGAGATTTATACTATGGTTTACTGAAACAAACTAGGAGAAAAATAAGCTGCAAGTTACACTGGACAAAAAAGATATTGCTTCCTGAACACTTTTGGGTGTACTTATAGATTTTTGGCTATTAATCACAAAAATATACTGTAATGTAACTTATCATTTTGTAGAAATTTTCTGCTTTTACACAATGGCAATGTGCACCCTTAGGGTTGACAATCTGCAAGCCCATATTCGAGACCTGAATGCTGCTGAGTGACAGAGTAAGTTCTTATCATTTGCTCTAATTCAGGGGTGTCAAATTGCCGGCCCATGGGCCAGACGCATCACATGGAAGCCGCGCCCACCCCATTGCCGGCAATGGCAAAACCGGCCCGATACGTTGAGCGACATCATGTGACATCGCGAGTTTGACATGCCTGCGTCCAGCTCCTGCTGACCTAGCAGTATGAAGGCATACAAATGTGAGTAGATAAATAGGTACCGCTTTGGTAAGCTCATTAATGGGGATATAAAAAGAGCCCCCAATTGGGTGTCCCCTGGGTAATGGCAATGTCACCAGCTAATCCTTTCACCCAGGAAGCTCCTGGGTGCTTTCAACAGAACAACAACAACAGAGGGGACAAGGGGAAAGTTTTGATAAGGCCTATTCCCATAAGAGGCAGGGGGCATGATGGCTCAGCGGTTAGACGCTGAGCTTGTCAGCTGGAAAGCTGACAGCCTGGGTTCAAGACCTGATCTCTCATTACTTGCCACAGCTTCGGCCCACTTAGATGTTCAAAAGCATGCAAATGTTGAGTAGGTAAATAGGTACCACTTCAGTGGGAAGGTAAGAGCATTCCGTGTGCCTCAGCATATAGACATGCTGGTCACATGATCATGGAAGTGTCTTTAGACAACACTGGCTGCCTTGGCTAAAAACGTAGATGTAACGCCCTCTAGAATAGGACATGACTTGACAGGAGAAACCTTCACCTTTACCTTTATTCCTATAAGAACCATAGGTGTTCTTTCATTACTGGCACAGCCTGTCCACTCCAGCAAATTGCTGTTGTATTCTGAGTAAGGGATAGTTCTCCTTTCAAAAGTATTCACGTGCAACGCGTTCCAAGCAATATAATTTTGAGTAATACAAGTAGTTAAGTAAGTGTTCTATAGTTTGATAGAACACATATTGAATCAAGAGATTTGGAAATTTAACTCCTTGAAAAGTCTACTTCTTGAATTTCTAGTTGGCTTATGTTTACAGCTGGGTAAACCTTTTTCTACTCAGGGCAACCTGGGAAAATGTGATGGAGAATACATTGGTATATTTTTAAGACCTGAATTCCAGCCAACACAGAATAACGTAGTTCATTTGGTGACATCTGAACTATCAACTTTTTATCAATATATCTATCCGAAGAGATAATGGGCTTACCATGGGGGCTGGCAAAGTTTGCATTTTGTCCCATTGTGATTCCAAGAGATGAAGGAGAAGGAGTTGGGCCAAATGATGCTGGTGATGGTGCTCTTAATGCTCCACTTGGAGAATTTGCAGCATGTAAAGTTCCTAAATATAACATACAAATAACAAGCAATTATGTTTTATAAATACTCCTTTTAAACTTTGAGGATACATATATGTTAAGGAATAATAATTTATATAAGGACAGAATATTGCATTTTTCATTAACTAAGCCTGAAAGAAGGGAAAAAGCCATTCAATACTATTGTCAAAAGCTGTGATAGGATGATTATAACTGTCTAATAAGCTACAATACTTTAAACAAACAAAACATTTCTAGTAACTACAATTTCTTTGTTCACTGATCCTGTGGCTTCATAAACAAAGCTGTGATTATAACAATCCACCCAAGCCAAAAAGCCATTTTACCTGGTGACTGGGTGAGCATCATTGAAGGTGAAGGAGTAACAGTGTTGTGATAGGATGTGGGAGGGGATGTCAAAGGATAAGCTGCTGGTGCTCCTGTCTGTTTTGAAGACTGCTGAAATAAAAAATATTATTAGATATAATAAAATACAGATTTAATGATTACTTCCTCAACATCTAATATTTGAAACAATTAGTTCCTCAGCGATGATTCATTCTCAAGGATAGGCAATTATTGTCAGTAATCCCGAAAGGAAACACAATTAGATGAACTAAATCTACTTTACTGTAATATTAACAGAATCTTCCAAATCTGAAGGTACAAATGTTAACAATCTGATCAATTCGGGTGGGTTGTTCTTAAGTTTTTTTCTCTAGTAAGCAACTGTGAGCCTCTCCCTCTCTTGTCTGATTGTTAAATAGACTGCATTTCTTTCCCTTGTCCCCCATGGTCATCCATACTTTTTGTTACAATTATAGGCCAGTCTTTAACATGTTTGGGTAAGGTGATTTCTTTCGATTTAATTTGTATTTGTTTTTAGCAGTGTAACCAACGTCTTTAATAAAAAATTATTCAAAAGAGAAAATGGGAGTTTTTCAACTGTTGTTAGTCTCAAGGAAACAGCTTATCTTGATTAATTTCAAAGTAGGTTAAGGGTGGACCATGGTATTGGCTGGCCCGATGGGTGATGTTTGGGGATTGATAGAGGGAGTGTGATTCCACTGTTATTTTTTTTACCTCTTGGCAGTTTTCAGTACTATCTGCCATGCTATCTTTCTGGATTGCTTGAGAGATTTGGGAAGAGGAAGAATGCTTTTGTAATCTTCTGTTTCTATTACTTGGATAGTATGGCTTGTAGACAGGTACCCTCAAAATGGAAATTATTATACAGTGTCTTTCAGGATTTCATTCTGTCTCCAGTGCTTTTATATGTAGGAAATGATCAGGAGATTTAAACCTGGGTGTTAATAGTAAGTTGACAATAATGGAGCTCTTCTGAATGACTGTCTGCAATTATTAATTGGCTAATCCTCACCCCAATAAACTTGAAACTGAATTCAGATGAAATGATGGTGTTTATTATGAGGAACTGTAATTCCAGAAAGGTGATAGATCTGCATAATCTGAATGGGATCGCACTGTTCTAGAAAGAAGAGTTTGCAGATGTTTTTGAACATAAATCTCACTCTGGTTGAGGAAAGAAACAGAATGCTTTTCCTCAGTTTTGGTTGATAGACATACATTTTTTAACACAATGACAAAACTGTTATGCATATGTTATGGCTTGATATGAAATTTGTTTTTACATAAACCACTGACAGACTTTGATAGCTGAATAAATAAAAGATGCATGTCTATTTCTATAGAGTAGCATTTTCCTCCTTACTGTAATATCAAGGATGATTTATCTTAGGCTGTATTTTATCGTATCTACTATTCTTGAAATCCCATCAGTTTTGCTTCTAAGAAGCTTTTGCTTCTTCCTTTTGCTTTTGCTTCTTAAGAGTATTTTTTTCTTTTAATCTCCTCTTCCATTTCAGCCAGTAGTATACTGCTTGGACACTGAAAATTAACACCCATTCAAATTTGTTCTAAAAAGAACACTTTTTGGATACACCGTGTATAGGTACCAGCTCAGGTATAAGGCAACTGTCTCATAGCAAGTCATCAGACCCAATTGTAATGGTGTGTGGGAATGATCTCGAGAGAAAGGAGGAAGAGCCCAGACTAGACAATGGTCAGACAAGTGGCAGCTGCATCCACAAAAAGAATGGAGGCATGGTAAACATCTCGGGGAGGAGAGATGTACTTTCAGAATTGCAAAGATTCTGTTAATGTAACTTTACAAAAAAGCTTTTGCTAGTACTTCTGGATAGGCGTCTTTTGTGGACTACCTCGCAAGGCTACCTACCATTAATCCTGCAAATCTATTCTCTTCCAAAATCTGGCAGAAGATCTCCCTAGGAGTTTAGGAAATGGCTTCCGATCCTCAGGGAATTCCTCAACCAGCCAGCAGCAGTGTTGTTGCAACACTAGCAGTAAGAAGCTGTACAAGTTACCAATTTGCAGAATACAATAATACAACTAATGTAACAGCTGAGACAGAATTTGCATCAACCTAGAGCAGCTTTTCCTCCTATCTCCTAAGGCAGTGTTTCCCAAACTTGACAATTTTAAGGCATGAGGACTTCAACTCCCAGAATTCCACAGCCAGCAACGCTGGCTGTGGAATTCTGGGAGTTGAAGTCCACATGCCTTAAAATTATCAAGTTTGGGAAACACTGTCCTAAGGTCATTCCACATACCATTGCAGCAATGCTCCATCACCATTATCTAAACTGAATGGCATCTCTTCAGGATTTTAGACAGAAATCTAATATATCCTCTTCTTAAGAATGGTATCAAACCTCTGACTTTTTGTTTGAAAAGTACATCGAACTAGGATTTTCTCCTTATTGTTTCTCCATTTGTATTATCTTACTAGACTAGAACAAGAATAGACATTTGCCCCAAATGATCAATTTAACAATGTTTAGTCTGAAATATCAATTTTGTGCATGCATATATGCTACCTGCTGCTGTGGCTGAAGTTGTGATATCAATGAATCCATCATGTCCCCTCCAATAGGAGATGGTGGATTATCATCTTCATTGACTGATCGTCTTCGTGCATCTTGATTGCTGTCAACGAACATGTTCAGGAAGGTCTGTGAATTCAATATTTTCATTTTATGAGAAGGCTTGTGTAAGAGGGCAGGCTAAAGTTACAAATGTGGAAGGTGGAGACTCTGAGAAACCCCCAAAACAAAGAAAGTTGTACGGTACATTCTTTCCTGTGGTTGGCGGGATGTTATCAACTGTTTATCACCCATTTCTCTACAATTGCCCAGCCCTTAACAGACCTAACCAGGAAAAACAGTGCCCTCCAAGAAAAGGTGGACAGAAGAATGCCAGGAGGCATTTGAAAGGATAAAGGATGCTCTATGTATAAAACTGGTGTAGAGAGGACTGGATTTCACACAACCACTTTTTGTACAAATAGACACGTCCAATGTCGGTTTAGGTGCAGCACTGATGCAAAATCATGAAGGGATGGACACCCTGTAATTTATTTATCAAAGAAACTCATTCCACAAGAACAGAAATATAATACTATAAAGAAAGAAGTGTATGCATTGAAATGGGTGGGTTTGAGAATTCATAGTGATCACCAACCACCAGCCCCTCACATGGTTACAGAAGATGAGGGATACAAATGCATGCCTGACATATATAAAGATAATGGTGTGAGGTATGTGGGAGGACAGGGTGCCTGAGATAAGCTATGACCTGGGCTGATGGTGCCCTGCCCTTTTAAGACCTCTCCCCAGCCAGCCCAGCTGCTTAGCAGACAGCAGTTATAAAAGGCCAGCAACAAAGCAGTTGTGGAGTAGTTGGTGTTGAAGAGTTCTAAGAGTGAGAAGGGTTGTGGGTTTCACTATTCTATATAGGAAATTTCAGATAACTCCTGAAAGTAAAGAGCAACAGTAGACCTGAGAAAGGTATAAAAACAAACTGAGATTACTAGCTAAAGGTCTGCTGGTGTGTAAGTTGCCTAAAGGCCAGAGAGGCTGGAGTGAGCTTTCTGAGGTGTGGGAACTCACTGAATTGGGTATAGATCAAAGGACCCTGTGATAATATATATTTAATTATTTATTAAACTTCTATGCTGCCCATCATGAGTGACTCTCAGAGGTTTACAATAACATATATTGTAAATATATATTGTGCCGTTACATCTTTCAAGACACTAATATCAATAGCAATATGCTACAGTTTAAAATTATTAATATTTCAGATATCTACAACAGTGTCTTGCTAGGTCTCCAAAGGTTAACATATAATACTGTAAATCCTACCTCACAAATGATCAGAAATGATATACTACTGTGATTGTTGATTTTCACCACCATGAGCGTTAATAATCTTTTTTATTTATGAAGATTCATTGAAATAAAACATTCTACCATTTCAAAAATAGGACTTAGCCAATACTGTGACAACATTAGCTGCATGAACAGAACTCATAATTGTTAAAGTTTTTTTTAAAAAAAAGATTTAATAAAATATTAATAAAAAATTCTAATCACAGACTCATTTACTTGTGCTGTGCCTAGAAACATTTCTTCAAAATCTCTGGCAGCTGTCTTGTTTAGTCCTCTTACCAGAATGTTGGAATTGTGAAGCCAGAATCAACTGAACTATAATCTACTCCGGCAAAGACAATTCTGAAGTGTCATAGACCAAAAGATAATAAATGAATATTATATTGTCCAATATTCATTCAGTATATTGGATATACTGAATGAATACATTCATACAATACATTCTGTTCTACAAAGGTAGAACAGAGTGACTGATTTCCTTACCACTGAATGTGTTGGAAGCTTCAATATTAAACATGTATTTGAAAGCACCTTCCAAATAATTTCACCACTTACAGAAGATTTCAGAAACATTAATGATCCCAATCCATATTCTAATTGTATTATAGAATAAATACATAAAGAACAGTCACCTTCAATCCTGGTGCAGGATAAAAGCCTTCCACAATTTTACTGTTGTCAAAAAGACTATATGCTCCATCACGAATTGCCACCACTCCACGGCTCTGGCAATATATGTCTATGCAATACATATTCCTAAAGGCCAGTCGGATGTGTGTGGGCGACTGAGGCAGAATTGAGAAACACTGGTAAGCAGTGTTAGTACGCTGTGTCAGTCCTAGCATTGGCACTGTGGGAAGCTTATTGATAGCATTTAATGGAGCCTGAGTATCATACAAAACCTGCAAATAAAAGCAACAGTTGTTCAGTTATAACCATACAACAGCTAGGCAAGTGTATAGACTCTTCAGAAATAAAGAATACAATCAGTTGCTTTTATGTGTCTATTCATAACAATCACACGAAGAAATGGCATTATTATAGTAGTAAGAACATAAGAACTAATCAGAAGTATAATTCCTTGTGAGATTCTTCCTGCTGCATTCCCATATAAAGTATTATGATCTCGTGTGCAAAAGCATCATTCTTTCAATGCTTTTCCTATTTCAAATGCAAAACTTTCTTTTGAGAAAAAAGGTTACCTGTAATAGTTGGACAACAGTTGGTGATTTATTGAACATCTCTTGGAGTTGATGCAGAATAGTATTGTGACAATTACTGCAACCTGAGTTTGGTCCAACAGTTCCAAGAGATATGTGGAATTTTTGGTGCACAGAGTTCCATTGAATGCTGATCTATAAATACAGAGAGCTTCATACAATTATTCAATGATAACAAGAAACAGTTGCTTTTATATAAGAGTGTGGGTATGTGTATGTGTGTGAATAGTTATCTATCTATCTATCTATCTATCTATCTATCTATCTATCTATCTATCTATCTATCTATCTATCTATCTATCTATCGTCTATCTAATTATCTATCTTGAGAGAGAGAAAAATAAAGATACAGAAACATATCTATTTTCTATATTCCAAACAAATTATTTTCCATCTAGTAAATATTTAATTGTGTGTAATCAGTGTAAGAATCACAGCTCAGTGCAGAATTACAGATTTTATACAGAGATGATCCTGATATAAAAAGGATCTCACTTAATAAAGGATCTCACTTACTAGAGGATCCTAGAGCACTACTATCAGTCAAAATAGGCAAGACTGCACTAGACAAAATAGTTCGAATCAGTCAATACTGTGAGTTTCTGCTCAGGTGGTTGGTGATCCTAGACTTTACATGTCATGTTGCACACTCCAGGAAAACCAGTTGCAGAAAGGAAAACCTATCTTCTTCCATTTAAGCTGAAGGAATTGCAGTTGGGAAAAATCTGGACACTACAGTTCTAATGCTTTTCTCTTTAAAGAGATAGGGAGAAGAGAGGAGACAAACAGTATCTTATAGAGACCATGTCATTCTCTAGCTTAAATTGGAGACTCAAATAATGTTTCCATGTTAATTTAAAACTGAATATAACCAAGCCAATGAAATATCTGTATTTCTATTCTTTGCAAACTTACCTCTGATTTGTTACAATATTTGCTACCTGATTACTTAGAATTCACTGGGTACCCAGAATGTGTCAATGCCTAGCTCCTATATTTTAGTGAAAATTTAACTATTTTAACATAAAAAATATTTTAGGCAAATCATGCCATATTTTTGGAAAACGCCAGAAAGATACAACTCCTAATGCAGCAGAGACTCTTAGGTAGCACAGAAGTTATGGAAAGCCATTATAGAACTACAGGGATGAGCCCTAAACTCCTTTCCTTCCATGCTTTGCACGGTAAGCTATATCCTGGTCTGTTACACACCAATTTTCTGATTTGATTAGAAGATAACCTGTAGCATAAACTTAAATCAAGAAGAATATGTAAAATGAAGGTAGAGATGGAAGTGTCTTCATAAACACCCAAACTTATCCGCTTCTGTCCTTTCTTTTCTGGCTAGTCATGTTTGTAACTCACATCTTTTCTTTACAATCCCCTGACCTTAAGACTATTTTTAAGGAAAATACACTAGAGAAAAAGATTCAAAGTTTTAATTGAACATACATGGCTAGCTATCATCAAACGTTATTTTGAGAAAACATCTTAACTGTAAACTAAAACAGAAAAAAGGCAATTACCACTACAGTATAGACAAGACCATAATTCTGAACACGTACGTTAGCATGGATGGCAGGAGCTTAATAACTAGATAAGACTGTGTTTAAAATAAGAGACACTGTACTTAAAGACAATAAATATATTAACATGGCTTTAAGAGAAAGATCAAAGATACTTACAGAACTTCCCTTGGTAGTCCCATAACAAAGAATTAGCTTCTTATAATTATAGATCCGAACTTCTGAGAAAACATTTAGATGGCTTGGTATTTCTTAACAATGTAAAGAGGGGAGGGAGAGAAAATATATTTTTTAAAAAAGAGAAAAAGTATTAACTTTAATAGTTTCTATCATTCCTGGAAAGTAATGTTTCTACGAACACTTTTTTTGACATCCAGCAACTTCCTCACTTAAGACTTTAGCTGACATATCCTGTCTTTCTAATCTGGTAACCACTTAAGAATACTAACATTTTTAAAAAACCAAATAAAATGAAATAAATTAAAAATGCAGGTTAAAAGTAATAATCAAGTAGGTTCCTAAAGTATTTAATAATAATAATTAAAAGCCTGGTGAAAAAGATACATCTATACAGATTTTCCAAACAGTGAAAGAGTGAGAGCTAAATGCATCTCCTAAATGTGCCACATACTGGTAGCAAAGGAGAAAATAATCCTTTTGAACAGAGGTCTCCAACCTTTCTCGGTTGGTGGACCGGAGGGAAAAGTGTTTGTGGGGGAAGCAATTTACACACGCATGCACAGACACAAACGGGGCCGCAAGCACGCACGATGCAAACGGGGTGGTGCTAGCACTTGCGTGACACTCGCTAGCACTGCAGTTTTTGCCACATGGGCGCTAGCACCACCCCATTTTCATGCCGCATGCCACCCGGTTTTCCCCCATTTTTGGAATGTGCAGCGCCCAGTTTTTGCACACAGCCCAGGTGTCAGATGTCCTTTGCTGCTGCCGACAAACTCCAGACACAGAAGGAACAGGTGACTAGCAAACTTTAATGCGAAGAAAAAGTCAGCACTGAGAGTGAACTTCTCTCAGTGCTTTACATAGATGTGCCCCTCCCACCAACCCCACCCCAATCAGCAAGCCAGCATCTGGGTCGTACAGATAAAAGGCGCAGTTCAATGTCCGAATTCCCCCCCCTCCAGACACACCCACAGAGCCTCTGCCGTTCCAGCTGCTCTCTCAAACAACGAGGCAGCACTCTGCTTCCTCCCCCGAGCCCAGCAGGAGGGAGAGGCAGCCCAGGTGAGGTATACTCTCCCCCTGGCCCGGCTTCTTTACTCCACATGTCCAGCCAGCGGTGGGAATGCTTCTGGCATCCAGCTCATTGGAGGGAGCCACCTGCAGCATCAGGCGGCCAAGCCAACTCCCAGTTGCTGGCAAGGAGTCGGGCCGACTCCCAGCTGTCTCCCAGGAGCCGAGCCAACACGTGGAAGCTGGGCCAGCTCCCAGCTGTTCTTCGGGAGTCAGGTGATGTGTCCGCTGACCCCCAGCTGACGTGCGCACGCCGACCAGACTCTCAGCTGGGTGCCAGGGACCGGGCGGTGCATAGTGGTCCCGCCGGCTTCGCGCCAACCTCCAGAGGCCGGCCCAACTCCCAGCTGATTGTCGGGAGTCAGGCGGTGCTCACTGGCCTCATACGGACGTCGTTCAGCTGTTGGCTGCGTGTTCCCCGTCACCCGGCTCATGTCAAACCCAGGGGCTTGACACCAGGTTTTTGCGCTGCACGCCGCCTGGTTTTTGCGTCATGCACCGTCCTGTTTGCATAGCAGCGGCACCTCATTTTCGCCACGCAGCGCCCCGATTGCATGGTAGCGGTGGTGCTAGCATGAGTGGGGGTGAGTGCTAGCCAGCCTGTTTCACAGCCCACTACCGGGACGTGGCCTATTGGACCGCAGGTTGGGGACCCCTGCTCTTGAGTAAGCCAGAAGGGCTCCTGCCATTAGGAACCTCTTCATAAGGTTTGTTAAGAACTGAATAGATTTATAAAGAGGGGGGGCTTAAACAGTTAGATTCTATGCCATTTATCGCTTTAAGTCAATACCAACTTCTTAAATTGTGCTTGGTAAGCAATTTTAAAATGGAGCAGATCTTTCAGCTCAGTTCTGGACGCTGCATTTTGCATCAATTACAACTCCAGGCACTTCTCATATAGAGTGCACTGCAGTGAACACAGTGTGGGTAATCAGTACCCAAATCTGTAAGTAACCATTGTCAAATCTTGATCTAATCTGATCTGATCAAGTCAGGATGTGCTGCAGCTGGGATAGTTGTGCAAAGGTGTTCTTCACCAGAACTGCCACACATAATTTCACCAAGACCTGAAGGTCAAAAGTACTTCCAGGTGGCGTATCTGGCTTCTGAAATGTGTAATCCCATCTGAAACAGCGAACTCTCAATCTCTAAGCAAGTAAAACAATGATCCGGGTTTTCAACAGTAGTGATCCAAACAGTTAACAACCTATCTGAAAGCCCAAATGGAATGAATCTTGAAAAATAATAAAATTTAGATACCCTTTAAATGATATTTAGTTTCTTTAAATTTAAAACAAAGCAGTAGTCCCTAAAGGTTAAAATCCCCATCCAGTTCAGTAAGATTCCCAATGACTTCAAAGGCACATTGATTTCGTTTTCTTGGCAGCATGAGAATGACAGTTGCTCAGCTTTTCACTATACCTCAGACATACTGTGTTTCCTTGAAAGTAAGACCCATCCTGAAAATAAGCCCTAGCTTGATTTTGGGGGTGGGCCTAATATAAGCCCTATCCCCAAAATAAGCCCTAGTTTTGGGGCAAGGCGCATGCCTAAAAGTCAAGCTGGGATGGGGGGTGCAACTGCCCCATGTGCTCCACACCTGCTTACTGTTGCAGCCAGATCTCCCATGAATCGACACCTGCCTCGCCGGCCCACTTCTACTGCGTCCCCTGGGCTGTATTTCGCCTTTAGAGGCCTTTCTGGAAGGCCTCTGACTGTGAAATGCAGGCCAGGTGGCACTGTGCACATCAATCTGGAGCTCCATTCTCAGCTGCAGAGGCATTTCCTTCGGCCACAGAAGAAGTGGGCCGGCTGGGCAGGGCTGTTGGTGCCGCTGCCATGAGTTGAGACCATGGAAAAGACACCCCTCGAAAATAAGACCTGGTGCCTGTTTTGGAGGAAAAAATATATATGTATATTTTCGGGGAAATACGGTATCCCTTTTGAGTATTAGCCAAGCTTTATCATACTTAGCTTCCAAATTCAGAAAAGGAACGAACAGATGTTACCTCCTGCTACAACTAATAGCTTCTAAACAATTTTTTATTTTCAAGGATACCTTCAAGATTCACAAGGACCCCAAAGGCATTTTCAGAAAATAAAAGCAGTTAGTCACCATGGTGTGGTGCTTTATTTGGAAGTCTGTCCTTATCTGCTTCTCATAAAAGTAACCAAGGTAACTTAGACTGTTAAAGAAATTTTCACTGGGATAAAAACGTACTACTAGGCTGTCTTCAAAAAATTAAGGATTGGTGACTGCCCATAAGACACTCTCATTCTAAATATGCCAATAGGTTAAGAGAAAGTGGCCTGCTTCTTTTCTATATCAATACAAAAATAAAACAACTAATGTATACAAGACATTATATACCTGGTAAAGATCGAGCAAACTCCAACACACATTCATATAATTGTGCAATGCTATTCCAGTCATTTAGAAACATCTCAACTACTTTCCGGCCACCAACTGGTTCAGACAACTGGTTTTCATACGTTAGATAAACATGACGAGTTGGTCCTGCAAAATGAAAGGAGAGGCCAATTTGATACTCAAAAAGTATAAGAGGAATGGCAATATGCAGAACAATTGAGAAATTAACCTTGTTCCCTGGAAGAAGTGCTGATAAGCGGGCAGTTTGCAAACACCAGTTCAGCCACCCATGTACGGTTATTTCTACCTTGCAATCGGAAAGTACAATCAAGAAGAGAACGATCCAGAGCCTTCTGGGTCTCCTCACAAATACCCTTACAGGGAGGAATTCTGTGCAAAAAGTTCAAGATACAACAACATATTGAGATTTGTTTGATTCTTTCAAATTCTGAAAGAAAGCATACAATTTAAGAAATGCAAGTATTCAAGTTAGTTTTTTCAATCTAAATAATGCATTTATGACTTTACTAAATAGCAGTAATATATAAGGCAGTGATGGCGAACCTTTTAGAGGCCAAGTACCCAAACCACAATCCAAAACCCACTTATTTATCACAAACTGCCCGGTCATTGTGGTGCCCTCAGGGGGGCATGGGGGGTGTGGCCCACTGGATAGGCGTGGCCCACTGGGTGGGCATGGCTGCAATTGTCATGGCAGACTGAGTGGGCGTGGCCACCTCGATGCTGCTCATGGAGGGGATGCCTGTGGGGGCCAAGCAGGGTTGGGGGAGGTCCAGGGGATCTCTGGTGGGTGGGACAGTGGGCAGGAGGTCCAGCATAGATGGGGGGAGGCATGCAATCCTAGCTGGGACTGGGGGGCCATGGCGCCGATGGGGATCCGGCTTTCCCTGCTTGGGGTGGCCTTTGGCTTGCTGAGTCTGGGCATGCTCTACCACCTCTACTTGAGCTCGCTAGCTGGCCGCTTCGCCTCCTTTGTGCTGGGTGCAGCTGCCGCCCTGGGTGGCAGCGGCAACCTAATGGACCTGCACAAGCTGTTGGCAGCGGCGGCATGCATGCCCACAGAGAGGGCTCTGAGTGCAGCCTCTGGCACGTGTGCCATAGGTTCGCCACCACTGATATAAGGTATGGCCAGAATTGGAAGATTTAATGCAAGCTGATTGTTTTTTTAATGTTTACAGTATACAATAGAAGAAATATACATAGAATTTGCAACCCATTAAACAAAGTTAGATTTTGGGAACATTCTAAAAAGCTTCAGATTAGCTTTCTTGTTTAGTGTTTATGTAAGAATAAAATTTGATTAAAATGGCCAGCTAAAATCTGAAAGTCACTAGGCTTAATAATACCTTTGAGTAATACCTATTCCTTAAGAACTACATGTTTTTACACCTAAGTGCCAAGTTTGTATGCATGTTCTGTTTTCCTCAGGAATAAAGAACCATATTCTTGTTCTTAAAATAGTTTCAAAGGGTCTTTTTACTGTACAATTATTGTAAAAAAAAATTCACAATATAAATACTAATGTGTAAATAATGAAACAAAATTTGATTCTTTTACAAATTGCATCATTTCCTTTTGATCCATATAGAATATTCTAAACCTTAGTAGAATTTTACATTATTTTTTTTACTTTAATAAACGAATAGCATGACTGAAACCATCTCCTTCAACTTGGACACCTTGATGTGGGATTTCCATACCGGATAGCTGAAATTTAAAAAAAAAACTTAGTAAATTTAGGTTTATATTTTCATAGCAAATTAAAATTCAAGCTGTATAATATCACTTGTCACATTATATATGAATCTTCCAGCATGGTTAATAGCAACTACTGGAAGAAATAAAATCCAACCAGAGAAAGAATAATCTCTTTACACACAAAACGAGTGAAGCAATTGTTTCTACTACAGTGTATTAATCAACCACATATTAAAAACACATAACACCAGAAACAAGACATATATGGAACAATAATGTTAAATTTTGTACTTAATTCTCTATAAGATAAAATAGCTAACATTTAACATCTAAAATATGTTAAATTTTAACATATTTCATATTAAATATTAAATATATAATATGAAATAATATATCGAAGAAGGCTAATGTGGTCAGATGGGCATCTAAACAAAGGCACATTGAAAAGGAACAGCAGTTACTGAATTGTTATGGGTATATTCAATGTGTGGAGGGACAAACTACCAAGACAGAGTTAAAAAATAGGCCGCTAGGTCAGGCTGGGGGCTGAGAAGAAATCCCCCCCATTCTCCCAATAGTTCGCTATGGGAAAAATAATTGGGCAATAGCTTGGAATGCTGGCAACTCCTCCATTCTAAGGCACAAACTCCCAACCCTATGACCAGGGCAGGCTTTCCTGTATGCACACACACATACATGGATGCAGCAAAAGGTGAGAACAAAAATACTACATATACAGATGCAACACGTTACTTTATTACACAGAAGAAAGCACCAATTGCTTCCAATGGCAACTGCTAGTAAAAGTTGAGCAGAAATTAGTTTCTCCATACTTTTTCAATCATGTTGTAATCACGTACTCTTTCTCTCACACACACAAAATCAGTCTGTGATTAAATACTTCACATTCTGATCAAAACCTAGACCTTTGTTTACATCAACAGACAGCATATTTAAGAAATGCAGGTTAAGAGTCCCTCTCATCTTGTGTCATAACTGCTGTAACTTTATATACATGTAATGCTGAACAAAGAACTGTTTTGTTTATCAAACCACTATGGCCTGATTTATTGTAAAATTTTGGTTCTATATGGTACTACATGAAAAACAGTTAAGTCATATGTCTTAATAATAAATGAAACAGGTCAGTCTTATTTCTTCCTGTTTTTTTAAGTTGGGTACTTTATTTATTTATTTATTTATTTATTTATTTATGAGACTTATATATCGCTTTAAGTGCAAGCACTCTCTAAGCGATGTACACCAGTAAGCAATGTATATATATATTTTACATTGCCCCCAACAATCTGGGTCCTCATTTTACCTACCTCGGAAGGATGGAAGGCTGAGTCAACCTTGAGCCGGTGAGATTTGAACCGCTGACCTGCTGAACACAGTCAGCTAAAGTGGCCTGCAGTACTGCACTCTAACTGCTGCGCCACCTCGGCTTTTTAGACAATCTCTGTTTTACCTGATCCAATTCAACAAATACAATTTGTTACCTACCTCCACGCGGAGTCCTATAAAGGGCATATTTGTATCACACATTGCCACAATATGAGCTAAAACTTTATTGAATGCACACATTTCTCCAGACTGTTTTGGCTTTTTGGGTTCTGTGGGACACAGTTCATCAGACAGCTACAAAAGAGCAGAAAAATATTTTGAAAGATACATGTTCTTTCAATCATAAAGCTAGAACAAAATCTAAATCATAAGCAATAAAGATCATAGCAGGAAATTCATCTGTTTCATACAAACTGTTCAGAATTCATGCTCACTATATTTAGACTATACTGCTGAAAGTGCAGCTACTTGGAAACAAATATTAAACATTAATTTAAATGTCCATTCAATTGTGCTCATTTTGAGTATATTAAAAAAGAACATTACAAGTAAGCTTGCAGCACTTAACAATGTAAACTGTTCTAATCAATTATAACATTTTGTAGATGCAAATAGTGCTAGAAAATAACTTGAAAGTTCACTTTTATAAAGGAAGTATTAAATTCTGTTTAAAAGGTGCAAAATGACAGACACTAGAAATATAGCCAACTTTCTTATCACATGAGATATTTAAGATGCTACTTTAAACACATTTCTATTTTGTCTCAGAACAAGAGTAATATAGTTTATCAGATTTATTCTTTGTCATCATAAACTAATCATTTATCTGATTAAGCGAAATGTTGCAGTATTCAGCCTTTTATTTTCAGCTAAGAGAAATAAATTATCTCTTATCCACTGTGAAAGCTAGTGACCAAATCCATACCTTGCGTTTTGCGCCACTTTTTGCTTGTTTGCTATTTTTTGTGTCCAAAACCAATTCTTCAATATTTGGCTTAAACTGTTGGAGTAAAACTGCAGTGGCAGGGCTATCGTCTCCTTCAGCATAACTCACAGAAAGAAAGTAGTATTTGTATTCTAGTTGTGTGGGATTATTGGGAACATCAAACATTTCCACTACCTAGGATGTTGAAAAGTCACAACTAAGCTTGGAAATATATTCCAAATTAATATATTATAATTAATACAAATCCCAAAGACATCCAGATTTTCTAAACCAACTTCAGAGAAATTTGGATTTAACTTAGAGCAAATCATACTGAAATAAGTGAGATTTAAGCTAGGTAAGTCTAAGCTGAATTTCACTAATATCAATGCATCCAAATAAAACTAAATTTAAATTTAAATATTTGAATACTATTATCACAAATACAGCAAACTACATCAAATGATATGTTTACAATGTAGTTAGCAATTATTTTTTAAAATCACTTTAAACAACTGAAGAAAAAGCAAATTAATTTTTGAATCATGAAGCAGATTATATTAAAAATGCTTGGGGTTAAGATTGTGAATTCTTCAAAAGTAGTCAACATGTATTCTATTCCAATATTTCATACTAATGCACTTTTGAAACCAACTTTTGAGCATTCTAAAATGTAAGGTTTACTGCTAATTTAAAAAAAATACACATTTAAAAATCTACAATCATACACATTGGCTTTAATGTCATAAAAATAACCTTAAGGCTTAGTCAGTTAAGATATTATTAAAGTATCCTATTTACTTGGCCTACTGATACCCTTGAAGCAAGTTCACCCTCTGTAAATCCTGGTCCCTAATGATGCTATCAACAGTAATCAAAGTATTGTAAGAATCAATTAGTAGTAGAGAGATGGCGTATTCCACAACTGAATATATTTTCCTTTTTCAGTTTTGGCACAAGCATCTTTTAAAATGTTTATTCAATATTTAATTTGTATACACTTTCTACTATAGTCAAAATATATATTTAGGTTTTCAGGGAATCCTCCCATCATTCAACAAAAAACATAGACATTGACTGGCTCCTGATCTTATAGACTGCTACAACTTTTTTTTTATTGTAGAAATCAGGACACAAATAATGAAAAGCTGCAAACATGTTTATATTAAAGCAGTAAACATGATGGAACCTGAATTTAACTGGGCAACAGTTAGAAAATTTGGGATATAAATATCCTTCAAAATCTCATTTCCACTAAAATAATTAAATTAAGGACTTCTTATATTGAGATTCAACATTATATAACCTTTGTTATATATCTAAGATAGCTTAGTATCTTAGATGTAGAAAAGGATTATAATATTCTGTCTCTCATTTATTTACAGAAAGCAATCATTGGCAATTAAGGTTTTATCTAAAATAACACTGCATGAACAGAGAGCATAGGATGTACGCTGGATTCTGTCAAACAGATATACCCTCAAAACATCTCATGGCTTTATTACAGAACGACTGTTTAACTCTTTAATGACTGTCACAAAGGGTACCACATTATTACCTTTCTTTTGCTTTATATTTACTAGTTACATTGATACTTCTCAAACATTTCCCTTCATTATGCACAACTGCTTAGCAGAAAATCCTTCTTATCCAAAGTGGGTAAACTATTTAAGTCAATTTAAAGGATGCTGTTGTGATTGGAGAATGGGTTTGTATGTCATTACTCAAAGAAAAATCATTTTTACCCAATTTTGAGTAATTTACCCAGGTTTGGGAAGCACTGGGTCACATCATTTTCCTTTCCTTTTTACCATCGCCATTTGTGCAATCTCTCTTTACTCTTAAGCTAAGTTCTCATTGTTTCCTAGTTGTCTTCCTTCCAAGTAAGTGGCCAGTTAACTTTTTGTCTGCATTTTAATGGACCGTCAAGATACTATTTCATCGTATTAAGCATGAGGATAGCCATTACACTGATCCTATCTTAATGCATTCTTCTTCATATTACAAAAACTTACATTTTTTATTCAGAAGACCACATTCTTATGATGAAATCCCATTTACTTACAATGTAATACTGTGGAAGTCGGGTAAGCTTGATGAAGAGTTTGTGATTGGAAAGATTTCCCACAGGATGAGTAGCATGATTAACTAGCTGCAATGTTTCACTGCTTACTGTGGGCAAATGTTTTATTGATTGTTTGCAACGCTGCTGCCCAAGCCAAAACCTGAAGTGAACACAAGCAAACAGGACATGCAAGAATAGTGGTATTCATTAGAACAAGGGTCACTTACTCTGCAGTCTTGGTTTTAACTATGCAGATAAGAACTTCCAGCTAAAAAGCAACATTTTCAAAAACCATTTGAATTAATATGTTCGTTTGTTAATAAAGTCTGGCTACCACCTCTGAGGCTTGGTGAGCTAAACAATCTCCAGGACAGTGGAGATGGCAGCTTGGGCAAAGACTGAAGAAGCAGAACTTCTCTGGACAAGGAGAAGATCACTCACGTAAGCTCCAGATGGGAGCTCCTTGTGAGGATATTGCAGGACATCAGTCTTCTACAGGTCTGAATAATGGGAGATGAGAATCAGACATCAAGCTCACAACTGTAGCAAAGCCTTTTCAAGAATACTGAGTTAAAAGAGCAAATGCAAGAGAAATTTTTTGCTGTATGGGAAAAATGGATAAATTTCATACAATTTAAACTGGATTTGAAAAAATATCATTTAGCTTTTTTATAACTTGTATACAAACTCTACTTTTTTCTTTCTTTTTTTTTCCTTTGTTTTTCTTTTTTATACTTTTTCTCTTTAAGGATTATAACTCTTTTTTCATATATATTTTATTTTTAATTATCTTATAATTTTGAAAAAAAATTTTTTTTAATTAAGCCTATATTCTGCTCTGGGAAGCTCCAGGGGGGGAGGGAGGGGTGGTTTGGGAGGGGTTGGGGGAGGTTGTATTGTTTTTGTTGTTGTTGTTGTTGTTGTTGTTGTTGTTTTTCTGTCTTTGTAAAAGTTTTTAAAAATTTTTCAATAAAAAAAAAAAGAATACTGAGTTCACTAACTTTGCTTTCTGATCATCTTCAGAAATTACTTATCTAAGTATCTTAAAGCTACTAGAGTCTTTGAAACAGAAATTCTGAAAAGCCACCTGGGTGTGTCTATCTTTATTTCTGAAGAAAAGAAAAATTAACTATAAGTTTAAGAACTTAAAGAATTTGAAATAAATGATAGAAAGCTAAATAAGATTTTGAATTAAGAAAGTTATAAAAAAAACTAAGGGACAGACCAATTTGGAATACTGAAAAAAATCTTTTTGGATTTTGGAACTAACTCTATAAAATATAGTAGGAACCAAAATTATTTTGTGTAGGTAGGTCGTAACGAAGATTAGAGACTTTGTTATTTCAACTGGATAATAGAGGGAACAAAACAAAGCAAAAAGAAAAAAGTGTAAACATACTTTTGATCAGTTTTGGGATTTACAAAATGATACAAAATGCTGTAATATTTGAAATATTAAAGATCTTCAAAAAATGAGGCCCGAAATTAGTAGCCACAATATCAACAATATCAGTAATAATGATTGCTTGTACGGACAGACTCTGTCCAAAGATGTTACTGAAGGATAACAGATGTGAAACTGTAGAATCAGAAATAATGGCTTTTTAAAAGTGTGGATTACAAGATAAAGAAGGCATTTAAAGTGCAATTACAAGTGGAAGGTCAAGAGAATGGTATGGATAAGGGATTTTTTAATGGATATACAAAAAGAAGCTAGCTGAGGTTTTAAAAAATAAAGAGAAAATACAAATGATACCAAGAGAATGACCTGGATAATGTCTTGTTACTGGATTTACAAAAGAGACTTGAGGAAACCCTTGCAACTGATCAAATTCTACAATAATATTTGAATGAATTAAAGATTAAGATTTTCAGAAATAAAAAGAAGGGATATAAAGTTGGTTTATTTGATCAAGGTTAAAACTAACATGTTTTTGTAAAGTTCTGGAAATTCTTAAGATAAGATAAGATAAGATAAGATAAGAAGATAGATAAGATAACCTTTATTGTCATTTTTTTTAACTGTGGGTACAACTGCACACATCAAAAATGAAATTTAGTTGCCCACTCTCAAAGTGAAACACATACATGGCACACACCTAAAACATACTATGTACAACATATGGACTTTTTGCTGACACCAGGATTGAAAAGTCTCATCAATTTGCTTATAGATAAGTGATTATGAGAATAAGAGATATTTGTCTGTAAACTTATACGGGGTGAAAAGCTACAGTTGTAATGAACATTGGAACTCGCTTCTCTACTAAGATCAGTTTATTTATTCTCTGCTTTTGTTTCTTAACCAGTTTTGATCCATAAGCAGAATTATTATTACACTAGTAATTACTAGACTAAGATTTTGAAACTGGCAAATGAACGTGCATTGTTAAATACTCCACTCAAGAGCTTTGCATTTCAGATACACATGTATGACAATATTTTAAGTGATCCCAATAGTGTTCAGGAATCAAGAAGACACAATTCATGTTGACCAATCAAGGGATAGATGAAGGGATAGATGGGGAACTCATCAAATTTGCAGACGACACCAAGCTGGCAGGAATAGCCAACACTCCAGAAGACAGGCTTAAGATACAGAAGGATCTGGACAGACTTGAACACTGGGCACTAACTAACAAAATGAAATTCAATGGTGAAAAAAGCAAGGTTCTACATTAGGCAAGAAAAACCAAATGCACAAGTACAGCATAGGTGGCACCATGCTCAATAGTAGTAACTGTGAGAGGGACCTCGGAGTCCTAGTAGACAATCACCTAAATATGAGCCAGCAGTGTGCTGCAGCTGCCAAAAAGGCCAACACAGTGCTAGGCTGCATTAACAGAGGGATAGAATCAAGATCACGTGAAGTATTAATACCACTCTTCAATGCCTTGGTAAGGCCACACTTGGAATACTGCATCCAGTTTTGGTCACCACGATGTAAAAAAGATGTTGAGACTCTAGCAAGAGTACAGAGAAGAGCAACAAAGATGATTAGGGGACTGGAGGCTAAAACATATAAGGAACGGTTGCGAGAATTGGGTATGTCTAGTTTAACGAAGAGAAGGACAAGGGGGGACATGATAGCAGTATTCCAATATCTCAGGGGCTGCCATAAAGAAGAGGGAATTAAGCTATTTTCCAAAGCACCTGAAGGCAGGACAAGAAGCAACGGGTGGAAACTCATCAAGGAGAGAAGCAACCTAGAACTAAGGAGAAACTTCCTGACAGTGAGAACAATTAATCAGTGGAACAGCTTGCCTCCAGAAGCAGTAAATGCTCCAACACTGGAAGTTTTTAAGAAGAGACTGGACAGCCATTTGTCTGAAATGGTGTAGGGTTTCCTGCCTGAGCAGGGGGTTGGACTAGATGACCTCAAGGTCCCTTCCAACTTTACTACTATTATTATTATATTATTATAAGATTATATTAAACAAAAGAAAAATGACTTTTCTATATCTTTGCTAATAAAAATCTATGCTGTATAACATGTTAGGAGCTATAGATATAATCCTTTCAAATAAACAACAAAGCTCTTTGTTGCAGTTACTAAAAGGCAGCCAAAGTAGAGATCATAGAAAAATATTCTAAAAGTGAAATCGTTTTTACAATGACAAAGAAGTGTATTTTCTGGTATTGCTTTTTTACTAACTTGAGCTGCTGAAGCCAAGGAATGATACGCTTCATATCATCATTGATGGATTTCTCTACATCATCCAGGGTCTGCTGATCTACAAAGAAAAAGCACTAGTTATTATCTACAATATAATTATTTACATTTATTTGAATAAAATATAGAATTTAAGTCAAAATAGATTTGTGTTGATTCTGTTAAACAACCCTTAAATCAATCTCCCTACAGAGCAGTGGTTCTCAACTTTTTAATGCCGCGACCCCCCAACCGGTCGTAAGTCAAGGACTACTCAACTGGTGCAGCATCGTTTGCAGAATGGGACTTTTGGCGGGCTCAGCAGGGCAGAGACAGCCTGGACAATTCCTATTGGCTTTTGAAAGCCAATAGAATTAGACTCTATTCAAGAGAGTCTATTCTATTGGCTTTCAAAAGCCAATAGAATAAAAGGGAGTAGCACAGCTAAGGAAAAGGGGGAAAAAATGGCAGACTGCGTTGTTTGGCGACCCCCGTGAAATGGTCGTTCGACCCCCCAGTGGTTGAGAACCACTGCTACAGAGTAATGCATATATTATAAAAAGCAAATAGTTTTTAATCAAACAACAGCAGTAGTAGCAGTAATAGTATAAAAACTATTCAAAGTAATTCAATTTATTCAATTCATTCATTACCGTATATTTGTGACAATAATAGGAAATGTCACATAGGAAAGCCTTTCTTTGGTAAATTAATAGTGATTTCCCCCCCATTGGACTGTACATGAAGAAAGTTCTCTTATGAATATTTAATGAATGCAGTGTAATGCAAGAAGCAACACTCCTTCAAATATATTTAGGATGTTAAAATACAGATTTTTGCACTGGGCATGGGAGTAAAGAAGAAGCCTGTATTTTAAGGTCTACAGTTGCCTTGTTTTACCTAGACAAAATGATCATGAATTGAAAGCCTCTGAATTAGCAGCATACTCCTGGAATCCAATCTGTAGGTTACTAGAGAGAGGATCACCCATGATTTGGTCACCCTATCACAGAAGGCAAAAGTTTGCCACAGAAATAAGGGCTATTCCTTTGTAAACTGTACTGGAATTCTGTAGCCTTAGGACTGCATGGACCTCCTTTTATAGGAAGTAAATTGATACTCAATTTTTTAGCCACCCATTTCAGTCTACGATTCTGGGTGGCTTACAATTCAAAAACTATATTGCAATTAGAACTAAGAAGAAATTTCCTGACAGAATAATTAATCAGTGGAACAACCTGCCTCCAAAAGTTGTGAATGCCCCAACACTGGACGTTTTTAAGAAGAGACTGGACAGCCATTTGTCTCAAATGGTATAGGGTTTCCTGCCTGAGCAGGGGGTTGGACTAGATGACCTCCAAGGTTCCCTCCAACTTTTATTATCATTATTATTATTACACTAAAACATTTTAAAACAAATAAATATGGTTAAAACATCCAAAATACACATAGCAGCCGAGATATTTGGCTAGTTAGCAATATAGCCAGGAAACAGGGACCTTGACACAACTCAGCACCCCAGCCTTGGGAATACAGCCAAGTTTTTTTGGGCCTTACAAAAGGCTAACAGGCTTGGGATCATTCTGATCTCCAAAGGGAGGATGTTCAATAGAACAGGGGCAACTGTGGAAAAAGCCCATCTTCTAGTCTCAGCCAAGCAAACTCTTTCACTGATGGGATCGGCAGCATGCGTATTCTGATAGATCAAGATGGACAGGGAGAGACTCTTGGAAAAAGGTAATTTCTTAGGTAACCGACTCCCAAGCCATGTATTGTCAAAAGGTTAGAATTAGATATTATTATGTTTCAAACAGACCCATAGAAAATCAATTAGACCTACTTTAATTCTCATTAATATCAGAAAAAGTAATCAGCATGGCTAATTCTGGATCTAATCCAATTCAATGGGCACTGTTCAATGTCCAGTATAATTGACCTTCTGCTTTTTACACTCTAGTTTGTGAGATCCGCAAATGTGCACCAACCATAAAATCTACTAACAGATTTTAAAACACTCCATGGGAAGAAATAATTATTTTGCTAAGAACTCATGGTCCAGTATTTCAAAACTTTAATAACTGCAAAGACTTCTCATTGATTGCTGTGCAGAACACAGCGTTCCCCTGCTCTTCAACCTTCCATCTTTCTTCTTCAATAATTTTAAAAAATAGAATTTAAGAACCCAATTAGTTACTATAATTTGTCTAAACCACCACTTGGCTAATGAAGATATTCTGTGAATATCTTGCAAGAATATCTTGCAAAAATATCCTGCAAGAACAAATTGATTAACTAGTTGATCAGTTAATTAATTAGTTGATCAGTTACAACAGGACCCCCAGAAGGTACTTATCTGGATTTGAAGTTCTGATGACTCTCCCCCCCCCCAGATTATGTGATTGTATTTTGGGTTCTCTACACCTGGCCTGCATTTACAATCATTTGCAGCATCCTGCAGTCATGTAACAGTGATTTATGACATTTTTTTCTTGAAATTGGTGTTCTCTTCTAGTTTCCGGCAAAAAATGGCCATCGTGGACAATGGATTCTTCTTACAACCACTGCATTTAACCACCAAAAAAATATCATAAAATCAGGTTGTTCATGATGGAAATCCCAAGCTCCATTACAGTTGTAAGTGGAGGACTACCTATATCACAAAGAAGATAATTATGCAATCCTGGAAATTTGTGTGCCTGCTAAGTTCTAAAAGTTGGATTGTTAAGAGCTGATATATTTCATGTTTTTAATGGTTATTCTTTTGGACAGACAGGAAAGACCAGGCAATATACTTCCAAATAATCAAGATTCAGTTTCTTGTTTAAGTAGTAGTAATTGTGCTACCTAAGGTGAGACTACACTCCACCCTTCTACCTTTCTGGAAAAGTGTTAAGAAGAATCCTTGATGTAATAGATGGCTTGTGGGCATTCCCTCCACCTTTTTAACTTGTTCTTCTAACCTTTAAATTTTGTCTTTTGTATGAATTTTATAGTTTTTAATCTATAAACCATCCAAAGTCATTTGAATAGTAAGATGGGCTGTGTATAAATTAGATAGATTAGATAGATTGATAGATCTGAATAAAAATTTCATGTTAGTTGCTAATTTGTATTATTTAGACTTTTACAGATATATTTGTTTGAATTGTATTCCTAAGTTTTGTGTTTCTAATTTTGAGGTATAACTTTTAAGAATATTATTTTAAATGTTATTAGGAGGAAAGCCTTATATTAAGTGCAATGTATTATGCCAAACTATGATCATGACCAAGCCATTTCATTTGTAAAATATATTAAACAAAATTTCCCCATTCTTTTTGGCATTAATAACCATTATTCTCTCTGGCAAATAATTTTTCAATTTTCACTGTATTGTGTTTGCAAGTCACTACATGCTAACTGACCAAATGACTTATAGATCTATATTTGACACCACCACTTTTTAATACACCAGCAAATTTTATGATTAAAAATCTTTACTTTTAATTTCCAATACAAAGAAAAACAGCTGATTTCTGCAAGATGTAATGTAATCATTAGAAGTGAGTCTTAAATGATGATAGAGCTCTTATTTACTTACCAATTCCATAAAGCATTAACTGAAACATTCCAGAATGAAGGTCTACAAATATGTGTAAGCATTCAGATCGCCCGCAAGGCTCCAGAATAGGAATAACAAGTGTAGGAAGTGCTGTTTCGATAAAAGCTAAAGAATTGAGAATTCATAAGATGAGATGGAATTTTAACTAGGAAAATTTCAAGATTAACTTTGGACCTCTGCAGGCTTCAATCATAAGAAAAAAATCAAAATAAATCCTTTTTTCAATAAAACTATTTCAGTAAAGTTACATTCAGCTTAATGAGCATCAATAAAATTATATTTTCAAGGAATGTCATTTTGCTACTAACATTTTTTTTCACTGTTTCTTTCTACATATGAGAATTGAATGGCAAGTAATGCCTCCATCCATAACTTTAGTCCAAATAGGGGTATTTTAATAATCCAAACAGGAAAATAATCCTTAAAATGTTACCCATATTTACTTCTCCACATAACTGCAACCAATTGCTACATACTTCTGCCAAAGATAGACAAGCTTCTTAAAGCCATCATGAAAGAACTCTACGTTTTCTCTATTCAATCAGGTCCTGATAGTCCTCTTGACTTTGTCATCTGAGTCAGATATAGCTGCAAAGGTATTATTTCATGTTGGGAAAAAGCAGTAATTACATGATACGAACAACATGGCAGATGGGATAAGATGATAGATCCAACTTTTCAATCAATTCTTGGGTGGCTTGATAGCTATGAGGCCTAGACAACTCTTCCATTGCAGCATAATTTCCTTTTTGTGCTTCTGAAGTCTGCTGAATCATTGTTTCAAGTTTTGAGTATTCCAATGGATAGCAGAGTGGATAATGGTGTCAGGTTCAAGGAAATCATGTGACTAACACTATCTCCATCTCCAAAAGTACAACCATGACTTTTCCTACCAAAGCTAGGAAACTGAAATTTTCCTCCCTTAGGTAAATCTTGTAATGATATTCCAGGGCTAACAATTCATTTTTGCATCATAATGATGACCCCATGTTTCACTGGCCATCCCAATGCTATCAAAGGAAAATCCTCGCCTTCATTTTTGTAGTGTATAACAACCAGTGCTGGCAAATATCAACTCTTGAAATTTTCACCTTTGCCATTGCCATATGAGGAACCCACCTTGCATGAACATTCCTATGAAATGCCAAACTTGACAGCAATTTCCCTGTAAGATCACCCAACTGTGGTTAATGATTTCACCAATTCTTCTCACATGAAAGTTGTTACTGTGTTACAGGTCACCCACTTTAGCCTCGCTCACATAAACCAGCTCTTACTGGACCACCATCTTTATATTTTTGGGCCCAGCAATGCATGATATACACTTCAATATAAACATCACCATAAGTAACATGCAATCCACAGTGGATTTCAACTGCAGCAACTTCTTTGGCAATTGGAAATTCAATCTGCTGCTTAAAGTGCACTGAGTTTTCATGACAGGCTACCATTTCATAATGAATAACACAACCTTCTTCCACACTAAATTCCAATCAATTGAAGTGAAATATAAGATAATAAAGAACACATCAGCTTCTAGTGCAGGGGTAGGCAACCCAAAACACTCAAAGAGCCACTTGGACCCGTTTCCCACCAAAAACAAAACACCGGGAGCCGCAAAACCCTTTGATATCTAAAATGAAGATAACACTGCATATATGCTTTTTTACCTTTATTATAGGGGTGTGTGTGTGTGTGTGTGTGTGTGTATATATATATATGTGTGTGTGTGTGTGTGTGTGTGTGTGTGTGTATGTATATGTATATATACACATTAAAAATAAAAGTAAAAATATGACTCTTGGGAATATCCATACTATTAAAACAATGATCACCAAGAGAATGCTTTAAGAGAATAAAATTACATACACACATAGGTAAAAAAAGGATATATGCAGTGTTATCTTCATTTTAGATGTCAAAAGGGTCTCTCTCTCCCTCCCTCTCTATCTGCCCTTGGTCTGCCACTCCTCTTCCCCCACTCTCTTTCTTTCTCTCTCTCTTTCTCTCTCTCTCTCTCTCCCCCCCCCTCCTATCTGCTGCTCACCTGGCAAGCTTCAAGCTGTTGTCCAACAAGCTCAGGGGTAGGCAACCTCGTCTCTTTTATGACTCATGGACTTCAACTCACAGAATTCCTGAGTCAGCCTAGCTGGGCTAGCTAGCTCTCTCCTGCCCTTCCTGCTTCCTGCAGAGACGCAGCAAAGGGAGGAGCTCCGCCCAGTAAGCTTTTCAGCTCCTCGGAGAACACTGTGAGTGCACTCTCTTTTACACACACACACAAACACACACACACACACAGAGAGAGAGAGGGAGGGAGAGAGAGAGAGAGAGGGAGTGAGTGAGTGAGAGAGAGAGAGAGAGAGAGAGAGAGAGAGAGAGAGAGAGAGAGAGAGAGAGAGAGAGAGAAGCAGGGAAACGCCATTGCCTCTCTCTGTCTCTGTCTCTCTCTGCAAAGGCAGAGGCTGGGAGCCACAGGGGAAGGCTCAAAGAGCCGCATGTGGCTCCGGAGCCGCAGGTTGCCGACCTGTGTTCTAGTGCATCAACAGTACCATCTGTTGGTTACTTATAATATTGGAGGCATTACTTTTCATTCAATCATATGCAATTGTTTTTTGTTCATTAACTTATAGAAACACTAATGATTAAAACAGCTTAAAGCTATATATAAAGGACTATAAATGAGTATTAGTGAACCAAACTATCTACAGAGAACTAGGTGCATGAAGGAACAAAGAAACTCAGCTTGTTGTATGAAACAAGTAAGCACAAACCCAGATTCCAGTAACAGATTTTAATCAAAATACTTCATTTGAAAAAAAACCATTGCACGTTTTATAATAATAAAGTAATCTCTCTTGTCTTCTATAATCCACCCCAAAACACCTCTCTAAGAGGTTAGCAAACTTGCCTAAAAGGACTTGGGTTTATGAGCGTGAGGGGACCACCCAAGATCAAATTTAGATAACTTTTAGTACAACAATTTAATGTATACTCCTCTTGAATAAGCACATTAAAATAAATATAACAATTGTTAAAAAAAAATTAAATCCCTGAAAATGTGTGTTAGCTGATAAAAATTTGGAAAGTACTCAGAACCAATTCAAAAGCATATTAGAAATAATCTCTGGCGTAAGAATACTAAATAATATTCATACCATTTTACTTTCCTCATAAAAGAAATGCTGACAACTTGTTAAAAATATCCAAAATTTAAAAAATCTTTAATTAATTTGCTATGTCATATTCAAGGTAATGATTGTCAAAAAAACTTTCAGTTCAGTGAATTAAAATTATTATGGTTATTATTAGGATTACTATATTATTATATGAGGCAGAGGCAAGTTGGCAGAGTAACTTCATTTACTTCAGAATCAAGTCTTTTATCTTGAAGTAAGGTAAGAAAGGATTATACGGATACTGCCACATACAATTGTCACTGGTGTTGTAGCTCTTAAGAATGGCCTTCAATTCCTGGAGTTTCTGATGTGCTCTTGCATGCACACTGTCTATTAGAAGCTTCTCTACTGACAAATGGTCTATCTACAAAAATCAAAGTAAAATCAGTTAATAAAAAACAAAACTTTCTGAGGAGTTTGTGGTTATAAGGGGATATTGTGCAGCAGTTCAAGCATTGTCATTATTATTTAGTTTCATCTAAATTAAGTAGTAGGTCCTTTCTAAGTATCTTCTAAAATCTTAGCTTAAATCAAGCAAGTTTTTTTTCAATATAAGATTTACTGATATAATGCAGCTAATGGAACAAGAGTATCTGTCCATTGCAGAACTCTTTTTATATATTTTTATATATTTCATGCTAATAATAAATTTTACAATATATAAATCTTTCCAGCCCTGGCAATCCATTTTGCAAAATCATTTTACATTTCTAAACTGCCATCATTTAAAAACCTTTTTAAAAAATGATGTGGTAGGGATTTTTTTGAAACATCTTTTTTGTATTTCAATATTTGCTTTTTTCTATTTTCTTTATATCCCAAAATTTTAACAATAAACATACGGGTTAAAAAAAAGTCTTTTTAAACTGAAACAACTTAAACTGCTGAAGTTTACCTTCATAGCTCTCTCAATTAGTTTGGAATCACATGCTGGAAGGGGAGGTTCATGAGAAATTTGCAAAGGCTTTGATACATCATTCTCATCAATCTTAATGGTAACTTTATGAAGCGATGCTGTTCCAGTTTTTCTCCCAACAATTTGTTGGCTAATAAAGAAATGCTATGTTAGATAAAAATCTATTTTGGTAGAACATTCAGATAAATTGGTAAAAAATATTACTACTGTATTAAAAAAGAATGTAACTGTTTTCTCTATAAAGTTCAAGAAACACTTTTCTAACAGGCACACAATCACAATGTTAAGAATTCTTTGCTCTTTCAAATTCTTGACAATTATGCCTAATATACCATTTTTAGCTTTGCTGTTCATTTTTGCTCATTGTTTTCCACTAAATAGACCCATTTAGGCACATTTAATCACCTCACAGATCAGTATCACAAAAGCATTGATTAAGGGAAAGGCTTGAGTCAAATAAGTTTTAAAAGTTATTTGAAAACCTATGGCAATGTGTTACTGTTTATAACTAGTTAGGCTTGTGGCCTAAAATTGTCATATATTCCTACTGGCAAGCGAATAAGCAGCCCGAACTCCAAGATTAATCTCAAATCATGAGGTAGGTTACATGGATTAAAAAAATTTGTTAGCTGTTCTTTAAGCCTAAATAAGGGACGAAGCTAATACCAACACTTTACATTCAACACAAAGAACAAATATAATAGATGGAAACTATTAACGTCTTCTTTAATTAGGTTTCAGATATGTATGCTGCCCTGGAAATACCATACCATATTCATACATGTCTAAAGAAGACAAAATGTTGCTTTCACTTCTGATTGTATATGAATTAATACTATTAAATATTCACATTTACCGTAAATGCCGGCGTATAAGGCGACTTCCGCGAGCGCTGAAATCGGCACCAAAGACGAGGGTCGTCTTATACGCCGAGTCGTCTTATATGCCGGAAATACTGGTAGTTTCCAGCGTATAAGACGACGTTCTAGGAATGCAGCCCGGCTATAAAGACGGGGGTCGTCTTATACGCCGGGTCGCCTTGTATGCCGGCATTTACAGTATATATTCAAGCAGCTGTGATTAGTGGTCCTAACTTCTTAAATAAGAACCAGCCATTAAATAAATTCACAAAAGTAGCAACTGCATTTCCATTATATCCCAATACGGATAGTTTCAACTTCTCACTAAGTTCTACACTGAATATACATACATACATACATACATACATACATACAGTGATATACCTCAATGGCAAGAAATTTGACTCATAAAATTGCACAATCTCTAGACCAACTGCAAAAATTAGGAAGATTTTGTTGATTTCATATGTGTGCCAATTTAATTATATAAGGTGTGGATCTAGCTTTTCTAGTACATGCATTTCCAAAAGCAATAATACTGTACTATGAAATCTTTGCCTAGAGAACAGAACTTGACTACTGTAACTACTCTTGCAGGTGTTCTGGAAATTATGACTCTAAAATACCTCCCCTAATATAACTTAATATATTATTTTCAGGTCAGAATATTTGCTCTCATTGTGTTAACTATTTGTCCCCATCCCAGAAATCAATTTTATGTAACTTATTTAAGAAACAGTGTACTTTCCTTGAAATCCATACAATCTAACTATACATTATATATCAAATTATCCGAATATAAGGGTTTCCTAATTTTCATTCTATCGGTTTCCAACAATATAATATTGTTACATTGAAAGATATAAATTGCTTAACAAAGAATAATTATAAATAGAATTGTGTTTGCATTGATTGTAAGAATATCTACAGATAATAGTGATTTTATTTACTTCCAGACAGAGAGGGACAGGCATTTGCCTGCATGGTATCGTTCCACTTGTACAAGGTCACCCCAGCGTTCTCGGATCAGCATTAGAGTCTGTGAATGTAAAACTTCCAACTGCAGGGATAGGCAGAAGGAATCTAAAGTGGTTTGGTTAAGTAGATATTTTGAGCTTCTTTAGAAAGAACAACATCAAAGTAAAAATGCATAAATAAAATACACTGTTACGAATTTAGTAAGAAATTCAATCTTACATTGCAGCTAAAACTTGCTATCCCTTCTAAACCATAATAACATACTTGATGAACAGAATAGAAGAATGTTATGGCATATTAAAAATTTATGTAGAGGAAATATGCTTCATAATAAATGGTTTTAAATATTTAGAGAATCCCAAATACAACTAAAATTCTGTGAAATAAACTTCCTTTTCAGATTATCTTGATTTTTGCATGTCTTTGCCCACGTGGACTCAATATGTACTGAGTCTAAGCAAATGAATACAACAAAGTTGTACTTCTTTCATTAATTTCAAAGAAATATATTTTCTTTTTACTGAACCATAATTCTGTGGTATGCATGTCTTTAACTTTCATATAAAAACATTGTAAATTGATTAAAATATCTGAATTCCTTTTTTTCATTTAATTTTACCACCTGTTCTCTTAACCCAGGGGTAGGCAACCCAAAACACTCAAAGAGCCACTTGGACCCGTTTCCCACCAAAAACAAAACACCAGGAGCCGCAAAACCCTTATGATATCTAAAATGAAGATACTGCATATATCCTTTTTTACCTTTATTATAGGTGTGTGTGTGTGTGTGTGTGTGTGTGTGTGTGTATACACATACATACATACATACATACATACATACATACATACACACACGCACATTAAAAATAAAAGTAAAAATATGACTCTTGGGAATATCCATACTATTAAAACAATGATCACCAAGAGAATGCTTTAAGAGAATAAAATTACATACACACACAGGTAAAAAAAGGATATATGCAGTGTTATCTTCATTTTAGATGTCAAAAGGGTCTGTCTCTCTCCCTCCCTCCCTCTCTATCTGCCCTGGGTCTGCCACTCCTCTTCCCCCACTCTCTTTCTTTCTCTTTTTCCTCTCTCTCTCTCTCTCTCTCTCTCTCCCCCTCCCTCTCTCTCTTTCTCTCTCTCTCTTTCTCCCCCACCTCCTATCTGCTGCTCACCTGGCAAGCTTCAAGCTGTTGTCCAACAAGCTCAGGGGTAGGCAACCTCGTCTCTTTTATGACTCATGGACTTCAACTCCCAGAATTCCTGAGTCAGCAGAGCTGGGCTAGGTAGCTCTCTCCTGCCCTTCATGCTTCCTGTTTCCTGCTTCCTGCAGAGACGCAGCAAAGGGAGGAGCTCAGCTCAGTAAGCTTTTCAGCTCCTCGGAGAACACTGTGAGTGCACTCTCTTTTACACACACACGCACACACACAGAGAGAGAGAGAGAGAGAGAGAGAGAGAGAGAGAGAGAGAGAGAGAGAGAGAGAGAGAAGCAGGGAAGCGCAATTGCCTCTCTCTGTCTCTGTCTCTCTCTGCAAAGGCAGAGGAGGCTGGGAGCCACAGGGGAAGGCTCAAAGAGCCGCATGCGGCTCCGGAGCCACAGGTTGCCGACCTGTGTCTTAACAAATACAGTTTTTCACTAGAATATAGACAAACCCCTCCATTTTACAGATCTTGATGTAGTGGATTCAGATGCAATTGGTAAAATCTGCCTACAGATTAAGCACTCCTGGTTATTCAGTTTACACATATATAAAATTGCACCCCCATTTTATGAACAATACAATAAAAATATATAAAATCCCCTTTGGACTGAATGGACATTTTGTTTTAATGGACACCTTTTTTTTGTTATAACATTAAATTGTGTGTTTTAAATGTATTTTTTCCATTAAAAATATTTCAGGATCCATATCAATTTGGAACAAGTCTCTTGAAAGGATACGTAGGCAGTTGTACATATCCTGTAGAGGTTTCTCATCAGCAAACAACCGGGACTGGACCAACTGATGGATGAAATTGATCTGCATACTATGAACCAAGGCACGTCCATCTATCATAAATAATAAAATAAAATACATTTCTTAAAAGATGACCTAATAATATTTAAAATGTTGGTTTAAATCCTACATTTTACAGTAACAGATTAATGTCATTAATGTTTGAAAAGGGCTACCAGTACTGCACATACTTCAAGAAAACCAAGAGTAAAATTTCAGAGACAGAAGCATTTGCGATGATTGTGAAATCATCAAAATTTATTTTAATTGAATGGTTAACAAAGTGTACTTCTTGGGGACAAATGTTCAGAAATAAGTTTTCAATCTGATAATATCTTTTGGCATTACCTCCAGTTTCTTTATCCTCAACCAGAATTTCCAGTTTGAGAAGGCGCCATGGGACATCAGGATCATCTCCCATCACAGTTAAAGTAGCCTCAAATTCACCCTCCACACGAAACTTTACACGACCATTAGCTAAAACCAGAATTCAATAAAATAAATAACAAAAAAAGATACCAAGCAAAAGAAAAAAGAAAAACAGATTTAAAAGGCCAAAGAAAAATAGTTTCATTTAAATTGAGAAGGGTCAATAGAAAAGGCTGCTAAAAAGAAAGATTTGGGAAGAGGAATAGATGATTGCAGACATCACACTGAGATTGAGGACAATGTAATTCTTTCATAATGCCTAAATAGATCTTCTTTTCCTGTTGAATTACCTTCTTTACCTAACTCTTATCTAATTTTGTTCCCTTTTAATTCCCTTACCACTGTAGATATCACTTCTCTTTAACCCACTTCCAACTTGTTTTGAAATTAAAATGAAAGCTAATCAAAACACAGGTCCTGATAATTAGAGTGGAATAATGTTGTTCTCCAAGATTATAGTTACTATTGAAGACACATATCCATATCCACTACTTAGTCAACTTAGACCAAGTTTTGATCCAAAAGCCTGCAGAGCCAATAAACAAATTCTGCTAGATGCATACATTGCTACTTTTCTAAGGCCATTAATCCTCAATCATTATATATTATATCCAATTTGTCTATTTTTAATTTTCATAAAGCTCATTAGCTGGCAATCAAGGAATTTAGGAACTTAACTTAGAAAGAAACAAATTATTTTTGACATAAAATTTTAGAAAGAGAAAAGATATGAAAAAAAGTTCCCATATCCTTCAGTCATAATTCATTCTCCTGCATCTTTGGATGTTTCAGAGATTAAGTCCTGTATAGGATTGAGCCCATTTAATCATAAATAAGTAATTTCAGTTCTTACCTACTGTAAGATTAGCCAGCTGTGGGGGAAGATCTGTGGTTACTAGTCGGTGACGGAGAATCTGATTTAACTGATGCAAGGTTGTTTGTTTTTCAATTTTTGTTATTGGATCAGGAGGAATTATTTTATCCTGTTGCAGATAAGTGAATTTTAAAATCATACCAATTTAAGTTACTCTGCATTTCATTAGAAAACACAGCTAAAACTTCAAGGACAAACCTTGGCATTCATATCATAGGCTACTATTAGCCATGAGTCTACTAGGCTTAGCTAAAAAATGTACAATAATTTCATGCAATTTTGAAACGAACAAGTGAAATTCAGTGAACTATTATTAACCAGTAAATACAGAAATTAGGGTATTTTGAGCTTGAGAGATTACAGAACTGTAAACCCAACTAAACTCATCAAAGTACATCATATCATAAAACTGAATCATTTAATTAGAAATTAACTAATCACAGTCAACATGATTAACAACTAAATAATAATAATAATGATGATTATTTAATAGAAGAATACTAATACGTTCAAAACAATAATCTTATTCAAATGCTTTCATAATTAAAAATGAAGCTACTTTAAACTATTAATCAACAATAACCAGAGCATATTGTTAAATCTAGCCTTAAGCAAAGTTCTGGAGAAATTTACAAGCTACTATTTTATTTATTTAATAAACAATTTACGTGGCTGCCCAACTTCTATACAGTAAATCTGGGCAGCTTACAACATTAAAATACTTAAAAAAAAATAAAAATAAATCTTATTTTTAAGTTGGGCTAATAATTTGATAGTGGGTAATTATCATGTATTCCAGCAAGGTGTCTTAAGATCAATAGGAAATATTTGGCATAATTTGTTCCAACTAATGTACATTTTAATAACTAAGACTATTTCAAAAAGGCTATATTCAGAAATGACACAAAGCTATGAAGAAAACTGCACTTGAGATAACAATTTAAAATTGCAGAGTAATTTACCCGTATACATGTTGGCAATCGTGGATATGACCCAGTTGTTAGCACATCGATAGCATATGGAATAGCAAAATTTGGCAGACGGGCATGAACCAAAGCATCTCGGGCCAGTGAGGCTAACCGATCGGCAGTGTCCACAAACAGAATAGCTTGTTGATCTAAAAAGCTTGATATCATCTGTTAAAAAATAATAATACATAGAAATAAATCCTTCTCTAATTATTTATTGTTAACTTATATCTAAAAGCTCCTATGAAGCACAACTACTTATAAGTAATCTATTCCAAAAGCCAGCATTTATGATGAAATAAATATTGGAGTTGTTATAAGAAAATACATTACAATTAATGTTAATCTTATGCATTATATTTCTTAAGTAAATACACAAATCATATTAAGAACGTGCAGTGGTTGGATGCACAAGATCATGCATTTGCGAGACAATTTGGGAATTAGTTACTGAAGAACCAAGGAAAAAGAAGGAGAAATAACAACCTATTAAAAGAAATATCGGTATAGTTATCTAGCAGTATAGCTTGTCCAAGCAGCTCTACTACTATTCATGTATGGGTTGACTTGTCTAAGAAATCAAGGAAGCCATTGCACAGAATTGTGACAGGTGACAAGCTTCACTGCTTAACTGAGAAGGGTAGGGAACCCCATCCTGAGAAAACCCTGACTTCTATCAAAATAGACAGCCCAACCAGGAATATATGAGAGTTTGCTCAAGAGTGGAAAGAAAGAAAAGTGTGTCTAGTGCAGGGGTAGGCAACCTTGGCTCTTTTATGACTTGTGGACTTCAACTCCCAGAATTCCTGAGCCAGCCATGCTCAGGAATTCTGGGAGTTGAAGTCCACGAATCATAAAAGAGCCAAGGTTGCCTACCCCTGGTCTAGTGAGTGGGAGCTGAAGTTGAAATCAGAAGCAAAAGCCTAGATAAATTGATACTGTTGTGGTAACTTTATTAGAGTGCAGGTTGTCCTCGACGTACGACCACAATTGAGCCCAAAATGTCTGTTGCTCAGTGAAACATTTGTTAAGTGAGTTTTGCCCACAGGTTTACGGCCTTTCTTGCCACAGTTGTTAAGTGAATCACTGCAGTTATTAAGTTGGCAACACGGTAATTAAGTGAACGTGGCTTCCCCACTGACTTTGTTTGTCAGATTATAAAAGGTAATCACATGAACCTGGGACACTGCAATTGTCATAAATATGAGTCAATTGTCAAGCATCTAAATTTTGATCACGTAACCATGGGGATGCTGCCACAGTCGTAAGTGTGAAAAATGGTGATAAGTCACTTTTTCAGTGGTGTTGAAATGGTCACTAAATGAACTATTGTAAGTCAAGGACTACCTGTATATTTTTATTTTGCAGTTTTAATTATTGCACATTACCCTAGAACAGTGGTGGTGAACCTATGGCATGGGTGCCAGAGGTGGCACTCAGAGCCCTCTCTGTGGGCAAGTGCGCTGTCGCCCCAGTCCTAGGCCTTCAGCTGGGTTTTATAAAAACCTTTTCACTTTAGGCCTTCGCCACTGTGTGCAAAAAAAAAAAAAAAAGGTTCAATCAATCAGTCAATTTCAACTTCTCGCCTGAAAAAAAAATCTTGCAAAGTTGGAATTGATTGATTGAACTTTTTAGTCCCACCCAGTCTACCGTTACCACCGCAGCCATGCCCAGCCAATGGGCCACACCCAGCCAATGGGCCACACCCACCCGGCACCCGATGATGCATAAGTGGATTTTGGGTTACAGTTTGGGCACTCAGTCTCTAAAATGTTCGTCATCACTGCCCTAGAATTTGTTTAAAGTGCAATTACAGACAAACATGTATATATTTAAGAGTAGATATAAACTACGACATGTGTCTGCAGAATCTGGTTATCAGGATAAAACAAACATCACTAAAGTTCCTGCCCTTACATGCATGCATGAAAGTCTGTGACAAACATACACAAGAGGAGGAGTTTGCATCATGATATTGTAGTGCTCAGTTCCTCACCTTTGCCAACACCTATGTTATTAATCTAAAAACTAGGGGGGAAAACTCTAAGAAAAAAATCATAGTGTCACAGGTCACTTGGGAACAATGAATGAATACTTTTTTTTACAGTCAACTAACTTAAAATAACTTTTACAATATCCAGATAATATAATAATATATAGCAGAAGAAAGAGGTATAAAAAAGCGATGGGAGATTAATTGCTACAAATGCTCAGGGGGAGGGATAATTTTGGCAACTGCTCCTTATTGGCACACTCTAGGCTATACAAAATTTTGCTGCCTTACAGGTAATAGTAAAAACACGAGTAAGAATTCATTGAGTTTATTGTTCAGATCACTATCAAATTCGCAGAATAGCAGGACATACTTTAAGCACAATTTTAGACACATTTCTTAGAAATCATCAAATCTGCCTTCTAGCAAAAAAGATTGGAGGATAGTGGCAAGAAATGCCACTGCAATGATGTAAACAATACTAGGGTGGCAACATTTGGCTGGCCACAGATTCAGACTAGAAGCTGACAGGAGCCAGATTCAACTCATTTCCCATGCAATAGCCATGATTTTCTGTTTAAGAAGCATTCTATTTTAGTCATAACCTACAGAAAGCAAATAGTCTGAAGCAAAGCCAGAGATCTGCAATTAATCCCAATAGTCTAGTTACAGGCTAAATGAAATTTATCCAAGATGTCAGAAAAGCCCAACTTATTTGGGGGCCCAATTGCAGGAAGGTGTTTGATAACTCTTGGGAATCTGAAGCACTGCCCTGGGAAATTTGGATTTGACATTTCCAGAAAGGATCCTTTATTTAAATAACTAATTTCTAACTCACTTTAAAAAGAGATTAAGTCAGCCTAAGTATTTCAAGGGTGAGAAATAAGTAGGGATGTATCAGCATTACTAGGTAGACCAGACAGGAAACATCACCAAATGAACTAAAGTTACATTAATAAAATTTTGCAATTCTGAAAGTATTTCTCTTTTCTCCACTCCTTTACAGTCCATGAAAATTGAGAAGGGTCTCTTCTTAGTCTCTTGCCCCACCCACATTCCGCTGTGGGCTTAGCTGCATCTTGTTGCCCTATTTCCCAAGGTCAATCCCACATACAATTACAGGATGCACAACATTTGGAGATCTGAAAATGTTTTGGAAAGACAGCATACACATTTCAGTACCTCCTCAAAAATTAGCTGAAATCCAAAAACATCTGAATGAAGTAGTATTTTCTTATCTGTGACACCAGCTAAAATCTTTTTTTTTTTAAATAATGTCCATGGTATTTTAGGATTTGAAATATTGTTAACCAATATACCACAATTATCTTAGCTAGAAGAATTGTAGCAAGTATCTTGCTTCCATTATTTCATTGGTCATTACTCATGACACTCAAACTTACCGCACATTTTTCAACCTTCCCAGCATTATTTGCCCATTTTACCAAGGCTAGTAATCGGACAAACAGCTGCCGTGTACGACTTGCAAACTGCACTATTTCTATTTTCCTGTAAAAAAACAACAACACAAAAGTTCATTTAGAAACTATGTAGTTAGTTTGAAAACAATTAAGATCAAAATCAGTTACAATAGCTCTAGAAAGAGATACTAAAAAATAATTATGACCAGATAAAATTAATGCTCATCAATGGACTGGGAATGTTGCAGTAAAATAAAATAAGCATTTTAAGTTAAGGCATTGCTGGATTAATTCAGTTCAAAGACTGAATTATTAATAATATGTTAAAACTGTCTTACATATAGTTAAAAAGATTTCTTTTTGATTTTATCCTCCATCTATTTATCTACAACTGTAGTGAAAAGTTGGGTTTAGCAAACGGCTTTCAAAAGTAATATCAGTTTGCCATGTATTCTATAATAAATCAGACCAAAAGGTTAGCTGCATCGTATCAATTATTTAATTTAATTTAAATTAAATTAGGTTAAATTTTAACCTAAATAATTCTCCTATATAAAAGCACAAATATCAAGAAAATAAGCACATCAAATCCATTATGACTACTTTGTTAGTAATCATTATGCCTGTTTCTGCGTGCAACTAGAATTGATATTTCTCTTTATGTACAAAGTAAAATCTTCAGGCTTAAGACAAAGCTTTTTCCATAGTGACACCACATCTCTTAAACCAGTTCCCCAGGAGAATTGATGAACGTTTCATTATTAGTACTATGGTAGAAAACAAACATATTTGTTTTTTTCTTTTGCCAAGATATAAGCAATTAAACTTTAAGCTACATTTTTTTCATTTTCTTGATAATGCTGTTGTAAAGTTTAAATCTTCTTGGTTTTAAACAGAAATAATGAATGTATAACATTATATAATATTATCATATTTTAGAGACTTTCCGGCTAATCAATGCTCCTACAGCATTGTAGTCCAATGACATTTACTATTTAATTAAAACATGCCCTAAAGTACTAAACTAAAATGTAGGAACCAACTTCAAAACCGAATTACATCAAGTATTCACAGTGACATGTAATAAACAACTTTATTTTAACATATACTGATATGGACAGTATAATTTCAGGACAACATAGATACTGTACATTGAAACTCCTGCTACTGATGTAAAAAAGCACATTCTAATTATTAGCTAAGAACCTGTACAATAAAAAATAAAAAATGCCACTAACATGCAATATACATTCAAAGTATATGGGCTGCTTAAACAAGGATTTCACATGAAAATTATGAAAATGTAGTGTGGAATCACAGACATATCCAATTATAACATGGAATATGAGAAGCATAAATAACAGAGAACTTGAAATTGTCAAAGCAGAAATATAGCTTATTTTAAGATTAATTGTTTTAGGAATGAGTAAGCTCAAATGGATTGGAATGAGCTACAATACTTTATCTCAGATAATTAAATAAAATACTGTTCAAGACATAGGACCATATAGGTAGACCTTGACTTATGATCGTAATGGAGCCCCAAATTGTAAGTCATGATGGTTATAAGTTGAGGCACCTGCATGACTGAACCTAGTTTAATGACTTTTTTGCAGCAGACATTAAGCAAACACAAGGGACATTAAATGGTTGTTAAGCAAATCAATGTCTTCCTGTAAATGTTTCTTTTTGCTGGAAACCAGTCAAAAAGGTTAGAAACCAGCAAAAATTGTTATAAATTTCCTCTCATGACCACAAATTGCTGCAACCAGCCATAAAGATGAGTCGGTTGCCAAGTGCCTGAAATGAAGTCATGTGACTGAGGGAGGTGTGCAGCCACTGGCACTCCAGGTCTGGGTCATAAGTAGCTTCTGGGGAGGTCCACTGTAATTTTGAATGGTTGCTAAATAACTGGTCATAAGCCAAGGACAACTATATAAAGGAACCAAGTAGCAAGGATACCCAAAAAGATCGTTATAAAGTACATATTCGGCTATATTTACTGGATTCCTTCATTCAATAACTATTATTAAATGAATTAATCAGGGAATATATTTTATAGACACATAAACACACACACAAAATGCAGTGGAGGAAGACAACCAGAATTCTATAATGCTAGATAAATACATTTCACTGGAGAATTAAATGGAAACCCAGTATTCTGTTAAGGAAGCTAAATGGACACTGACAGCAATAAAAATGTCCATAGAAGCTATATAAGCCAACCCATGTAAAAAGCTATCTGAATCATTAAGGAAGAGCAGATGGTAGGTACAGTAACACTGATATGGTTGGATTAAAGAGAACATCCAGTTGCTGATGTAGCTAATGATCTAGCTTGGTTAGCGTTCATAAACTACCAACATCTATTAATAGTCTTTTGTCAGCCTTGCTGAGAATATTTTTCAGTTTTATTTCTCTCATGATGGAATGGCCTCCCTCTGGAAAGATTTGTGCAACAAAGATATGTTTGTTGTATATATAGCACTATATATAGCACTGACAATATGGAATGTCAGAATGTTGTCCAAGTAGATATGTCATGAGTGAAACATTAACTTTTTGGCAATCAGCAAACTAGACTGGAATGGATTATTTCCAATCAAGGGGTTATGGCATTCTACTGAAGAAGAAAATAATTCAAGAAATTGAGTAGCATTATTAACAAAAAGGTGTCAAAGTCTATACTAGAATACAATTTCTACAATAACAGAATTATTTGAATTCAAGGCTAACCAATCAATAGTACAACAATCTACTCTAGCTCCAGCCACAGATGCAATAACTGTTCTATGACAATCTGCAAAACCATGTAAACATAACATTAAAAAAGATATCAAACTAATTATAGGTGACTTCGATGTTAATGTTTTAAGTAGAATAGCATCAAATAAAGGAAAATGGTCTTATAGGAAATGAAACAGAAAACAGTATTCTGCCAAGAAATTCAACACTTACAAAAAGCAACTTACTGGACTGACAACACCCAATTGATTATATACTTTCCAAGTAAACATGGAAAAATTGTATTTAATCAGCAAAAATAACACAAAGTACTGATTATATTTCAGATCACCAACACCTTGTTGAAAATTTACCACATAAATAGGAAATACTCCTCTTGGAGGGTTGGGATTTAATTTTTGGATGGCATGCCTATCTAATTTTTAATAAAAAGATTGATAGGGCTTTCAAATCTCATATTATGAGGACCTCCTTACTTCGGGTTTGGAGGAAATATTATAGAAATGATTTTAAAATCCCATTATGGGCTATTCCATGGCATGCGATAGAAGGGATAAGAAGAGGGGTCAGGATGGATAGCGTTTCTTATGCACAATTACTCAGGTGGGATGGTAAAAATTGGCAGTTAAAATCTATGGAAGATTTAGCACAGGAAAATATTATATATTCATGGTTTCACTATAGACAAATAATGGATAGGTGGAAGATAGATCGGAATGTGGGTTTGCTTAGAGAAGATGAGAATCTGTTTAAACAAATAAAAGATCAAAGGCGAACTCAGATTAAGAGAATTTATGGGGTCTTAGTAGAATTGAACTCAGAAACAGAGTTAGTCAAAGAATGTATGATTAAATGGGCACAAAACTTTGGTGAATCGGTACTATTAGATACCTGGGAAATTATTTGGGTGAGGAACGTTAAATTTACGCAAGCCCAAAATTTAAGGGAGAATTTTTATAAAATGTTTTATAGATGGCATCTTGATCCACAAAAAAATGTCTCGTATGTATCCTGATCTACAGCCTATATGTTGGAGATGTGGAAGTTTGGATGCTACATACTATCATATTTGGTGGACGTGTAAAAATATAAAAGCTTTTTGGATTAAGATATGGTGGAATATTCAAAGAATTTTTAGAAGGAGGGTAAAATTTACCCCACAATTGTTTTTATTAGGTATTGTTACAGATTGTGATACTAAAGATATCACATTGATGTTAAATTTAATCACAGCTGCAAGGTTGTTAGTAGCACAATGTTGGAAGAAGGAATCTCTCCTACCTTGCAAGAGTGGCTTTTTAAAGTTTCTTATCTGGCAGAAATGGCAAAGATTTCGGCTTTCCTGAAGGATCAATCTCAAGAGAACTATGTGGTGGTATGGAGGAAATGGATAGATTTTATACAACACAAGATGGATATTAAAAAATATTATTTAGCTTTTTAATAATTTATATTGAAAAGCCAATTTTCTTGAAAAGCCAAACTTTTTTTTCCTTTTTTTTATTTTCTTCTTTCTTCTTTTCTATTTCTCTTTTTTATATATATATCACCTTTAATTATTTTATAACTTGTTTAAGTAATGTATTTAGATTTGTTTATAGTTTTATAACTTATATTGAAAAGTTAATTTTTTTTTTCATATTTTTTATGTATTTTTTTTCTCTTCTTTTCTTCTTTCTTCTTTTCTATTTCTCTTTTTTATATATATATCACCTTTAATTATTTTATAACTTGTTTAAGTAATGTATTTAGATTTGTTTATAGTTTTATAACTTATATTGAAAAGTTAATTTTTTTTTTCATATTTTTTATGTATTTTTTTTCTCTTCTTTTCTGGTATTTATGTTTTTCTTTTTTTATATATATACATTGTTGTTAATTATTTAGTAATTTGTTTAAGTAATGTATTTAGATTTATTTATATTTTATACTTTTTTAAAGATTTTTTGAAGAAACTCTAATTAAGCCTATATCCAGCTCTGGGATAGTCGGGGGAGGGAAGGGGAGGGTTGGGGAGGGATGGGGAAAATTGTTTTGTTTTTGTATTGTAAAATCTTATAAATTTTCAATAAAAAAAAAAAAGAAAATTAACCACATAAATTAAAATCATCAGCCCCAAAAGACATATGATTTCAGCAATACTCTATATCAGAGGTCCCCAACCTTTTGGGCACCAGAGACCAGTTACATGGAGAGAGGTTTTTCTGTGGATTGGAGGGGGTGTGGTTTTATGTGCTGCTGCATCCCGCGGATGGGGCTTTGCTTGTTTGTGCGGACTTGTTGCAGCCCGGTACTGGTCCACAAACTGGGGGTTGGGGACCCCTGCTCTATATAATTAAGCAAGGAAAGTAAAGAATAAATGGATAGAATTGACTTCCGGTTCCGGATTACAGCGATCCCGGTTGAGTTTAGAGACTCGTCTCCACACCGGCTATTTTTTCTTCGCCGGTAGACCCCCTAGTGGGTTGAAAGTCGCCCTGGAGGGGCGACCACCGAGGAGGAGGCTTGCTGGTGACTGCGGGAGGGCGGCAGTTTCTCCCGTGGCCTCAGCTATCTCCTTAGGGCCGACGGAGCAAAGATCGTCCAGTAACATGGCCGATTACCCTGCTACACCAGCCGAAAGTCACAGGAACATCTAAGTGTTTAAAGACCCATCGTGGATGATCCGGGTGAGACCCCTCCTGCTCCTCTCTTCACCCTATTTTGTCTTTTTCTCCCTGTAAAAGCTTCATTGGAATTATTTCCCTGTCTTGAAAAAGCAACTTTTGTTAGTGTGGGAACAAATGCATTGAACAAAAGGGTAGAATAAATAATTTTAATGATTACATTTTATTTTTTATCTACTTTATCTACTCTTTTTTAGAGCTGCACTATTATTTTATACTGGAAGATTATTTCTTTTTCCACCTTTTTCTTTAAAAGACAGAAAAAAGGAAAAAAATGGTGTCTGGGAATGATTTTTTAATCTGAGGACATCTAGTGGCGAAAAAGTAACATTGCAACTGCTGGTTATTGTTTGGAGAGGAGGTGGATTTGTCCTTCAAACTACTCTTGAAGAGAAAAGATAAGCTGATGCAGCTGTGGGAATTGTGGGAGTGGATATTGCTTAACTTTTATTTAAAAAGCCTCCACTAAAAGAAAAAAGGGACTCTCTTCAATTACTATTAAAATGGAGAAACCTCATTCTCAATTAAACTGTAAACTTATATTGGAAAAGATTTACGAGGTTACTGAAGAAATATGCGCTAAAATGAAAGAGAGCCAGAATTAAGAGCCAGAAGCCTTACCCCAAACGCTCAAACTGACTTTCAGACTGCACCTGACCATTCTATAAATCAAAATATACCAGAAGAGGAATCAATTGAGACTAAAGAAGAATTTATTTTACCTTACAAACACTTCATCTACATCTTTGAGGATCAGAAGAACCAAGGACTGAGATTTGAACCTTTAAAGCAATGAGACTTTAAGGACAAGAGAAATAGATACTCAATCTAGAGGATGGGATGCTGTTTACTGACTCAAATGACATTACAAGCAACAGAAGATCTATCGGCTGAAAGGGAAGCTTTGTTATAGAAACCTGCCTGGCACAAAAAGGCCAGAATAAGACTGAAAAGGGAAACTTAAAATTATAGGGGATGGATTAAAAGGCACTGTAGAACTATGGACTGATTTAAGGATTAAGATTTAGAGTTAGAAGTAGGAGAAAAATGGGTGATTACTAGAATATATATTTTAAATAGACTAAGAATGTATTTTTAGAATAGGTTTATTTGTATGAAAACTATTATGTAATGGAATGAAGAAAATCTTTTAGATCTGGATTGCTCAATAATTAATTGAACATGTTAAATTAGTAGGATGATGTTTTTGTGTGGTAATATGGGTGTTTTTAGGCATAATTACTTGGATGAAATTTGAATTTTGCCTAATAGCCTGAAATGATTTAAGGTTTGATATTACTTTGATTGATGGATTATATATGTATAGGGTAGACTAATATTTTATTTTATTCAGGATACATAGTGTGTAGTGGAAGAAGAAATAAACAAGATTTGTGATAAAATTAAAGATTTAAGAGATCAGAACTAGAATATATCTGGAAAGGATACCTGAAGTGATAATGTGTTTAAGGTTAAATTTGACTATGGTAACTGTAAATTTATAAAACTTAAAAACAGGTTTAGAATTTATAGAAATTTAATTTAGAAATGGATTATTTTAAATATATTATGCTATTTGAGGGAAATAGAGAGGGAATATTTAATGCATTGATTTGAGGTATTCATATATGTTTATTATTGGATGTTTGATTGCCCCAGCAAAAAACCACTGATTAATTATTCTAACTGTCAGGAAATTTCTCCTTAGTTCTACGCTGCTTCTCTCTTTGGTTAGTTTCCATCCATTGCTTCTTGCCCTGCCTTTAGGTGCTTTGGAGAATAGCTTGACTCCCTCTTCTTTGTGGCAGCCCCTGAGATATTGGAACACTGCTATCATGTCCCCCCTCATCCTTCTCTTCGTTAAACTAGACATACCCAATTCCAGCAACCGTTCCTTATATGTTTTAGCCTCCAGTCCCCTGATCATCTTTGTTGCTCTTCTCTGTACTCTTCTAGAGTCTCAAAATCTTTTTTTACATCGTGGTGACCAAAACAGGATGCAGTATTCCAAGTGTGACTTTACCAAGCTTTATAAAGTGGTATTAACACTTCACATGATCTTGATTCTATTCCTCTGTTAATGCAGCCTAGCACTGTGTTGGCTTTTTTGGCAGCTGCAGCACACTGCTGGCTCATATTTAAGTGATTGTCCACTAGGATTCTGAAATCCCTCTTACAGTTACTACTATTGAGCGAGGTACCACTTATACTATACCTGTGCATTTGTTTTTTTCCCAAGGAAAACTTTGGTTAGCATATCTGGGGAAATCATTTTATCTGCTGATAGGGGAGAAAATTTGGTTGATGTTTCCTATAGATTATGTTATCTTTGCATTTTATTTTGATTGTATGGTTTGTATATGTTAAACTCCTTAGAGTTGCGCAACATCAACAGCCTAGAAATTTCATTAATAAAACAAATAAACCACTGTCTATAATCCAACTTAAAATCATAGTTTGAAATTGTGTCTGGTTCTTAGTTAGGGTTTTCTATTTTCTTAGCTATAATTCACACAGGACTATAGACTCTAAAATAATATTTTTTATCATGTGCTATCTTAAGTTGATGTAGTAGTCTGAGAAATTTCTGTTAGGAAGAAAAAAACAACACTACAGTTATGGGTGTGACAGCATGTTATAGCCATAGTTGCTACCATCTTGTCACACAGTCGCCCAAACATACAAGCAGCTTTTTTAAATTGACAGCAGCAGAGTAGCAATTAAAGATAAAATAGAAGATAAAATGATAGAAGGAATTGCTGCTATCCTGACAAAAGGGAGGGAAGAATTGGTAAAACTTGAAATAGTTAGATGGACATGTGGAAAGGAGAAAAGATAGCAGGTAACTTTGGGATGGTCTGTGCAAGTTATGCTGCTGAAGATTAGCCTGTTGCAGGCTGAGTTTTGAAAAGACATCTGAAACAAGCCAGACAGACCAAAATCCTTATAAACAGAAGCTAAAAAAGATGCATTCCTAATATAGCTTCATGGGAAATGAAAGAGACAGAGGAGGAACACATCATACTAGCTCAAGAGAGATTGCCAATCTGCAGAATTAACCCATTTAACAAATGGAATCTAGAAACAGCACTGCATGCACTTAGTCAACATTACAGACTGAACAAATACCCAGCACAGGTAGTCCTTGACTTAGAACAGTCCATTCAGTCAAAGTTATAATGGCAGTGAAAATATGACTTAGGAACATTTTTCACAACCAGTGCAGCATCCACATGCTCAACATTCGGATGCTTGGCAACTAGTTCATATTTCTGATGGTTGCAGTGTTCCAGGGTCATGTGATCACATTTTGTGCCCTTCTGACAAGCAAAGTCAATGGGGAAGCCAGATTCACTTATCAGCCATGTTACTATCTTAACAATTGCAGTGATTCACTTAACAGCAGTGGTAAGAAAGGTTGTAAAATGGGGCAAAACTCACTTAATTGCCTTGCTGAGCAACAGAAATTTTGGGCTCAAATGTGGTCATAAGTTGAAGACTACCTATATAAGGAAATCATTTAACTTTCACATATTTGGCTAGTCACATAAATAATTGTTTATGTTGTTTGTATATTGCTAATGAGAAAAATTGTAGAGAAGCAAAAGAGTGGGGGAAAGTGTTATTTACCTTCTATAATGAAATGCTACTTATACTGCCTGGAAATAAAACTAGCAACTGATTTTGCTATCAAAAAGTTATTTTGTGCCATCTATCAGATCAATTCTAAGTCTTCATCAAATGTGATTCTTTTAAAATAGCAATCTTTTACCAGTAGATTTTTACCTTGAAAGCTGCATAAACTTTTAAACATAGTAATCTTTAAATAGAGGATAAGCACAAACTGACGTTACAATCTACAGTAAGCAAATAGATTGATCAGTTTATTTCCACAGACTCAAGCTGTCATATGTGTAAAACAGTCAAATGTATTTTGATTTTCTAACTTTGCATTAAAATATTGCTCTATAGCAGTGGTGGCGAACCTATGGCACAGGTGCCAGAACGGCACTCAGAGCCCTCTCTGTGGGCACGCGTGCCATTGCTCCAGTCCTAGGCCTTCAGCTGGGTTTTATAAAACCTTTTCGCTTTAGGCCTCTGCCACCGTGTGCAAAAAAAAAAAAAAAAGTTCAATCAGTCAATTTTAACTTCTCGCAAAAAAAAAAAGATCTTGCAAAGTTGAAATTGATTGATTGAACTTTTTAATCCCACCCAGTCTGCCATTACCACAGCAGCCACGCTCACCCAACTGGCCACGCCCAGCCAATGGGCTACACCCATGCAGCACTCGACGATGCATAAGTAGATTTTGGGTTGCAGTTTGGGCACTCAGTCTCTAAAAGGTTCGCCATCACTGCTCTATAGCAATATTTCTATAGTTCAACAAAATTCAACTATCTCTCATTGACTTGTAGAACCATCATAACGATCATTACTCACCTCTCCATATCAGTTTTTCTTGGTAATCTGGTTTTAAAAAGGAAAAAAAAATACTATGTCATAAATGATTGCAAGAATATTAAATTTTAGACTATAAAAAGTAGCCTCTTAGTATAGACATTGCCTTACATTCCAGTATATATGCAAATGCCAATGTATTATGAGCCTATATTTTGAAACTTGATATTTAATTTTTTTACAAAAGAAATCTCAATTATACAAATAAAAATACTTTCAGATAAGCATAATTGTTAAAGCTTCAACAATAAATAACTCATTTCCCTCTGATGACAATCTATTTGCCATACAAACACAGCATCTCTATGCGGAATATATAAAACTTAGAGAGAAGATATACTGTGCATCTTCACTGGATGAATACATACAGTATCTATCATGCATCCCATGTTAAAAAACACATGTATACACATTTATTAAATCTAAAATGTTTACACTATACAAAAGAACATTGTTTCAAACTTTATAGTAACTTAAACTGATGAAATATAACCCCAGTATTTAAATTTAAATGCTTCTAATTCCTACTCCTAGTCTCCCAATAATTGTTTCACATAATATAAACCACATAATATAAACTTTTACTGTGATGCTGAAATTTACTTCATAGCATAACGGACTGGGTCTGTTAGGCAGAGAAACTCGTTTTATTTTTTATTGTGAAAATCAGTTTTGTTACCAGACTCGGAAGCTTGCGCACCACTACTTACTGCGCTTTTCTCCATAACTTTAACTTAACATAGATTCCACACCACCCCTCTCCAAAAAGAATAAGAAGTGTCTAAGCAGCAAGGATGTTCCCAAGCAAAGCCGGAGAATGAGATATTGCTGGGATACAGGACTCACAGATCGGCCAGGACAGTGAGCTCCGCATACGTCCGATGCAACAGAAAATCGATGAGAGTGCTGAGCCGGTATCCAGGACTAGCTGCCGCGGTCGCAGTCCCTGGGGGCGGTGGGGCCGGAGCCGAAGCGGGCCCACCGCCCACCGGGACCAGCTGATGGCTCTCCAGTTGCACCGGCGCCATCGCTACAAAACAAGAAGAAAGCAACCAATTCCCAACGCGCTGCCAGAGTCCTTTCGCACCCCAGCGATAGGCACCCGCTGGCAAAGCTTCAAATGTAGGAAAGTGCTCACAACGCACTTTTTTGCTCAGCCAGCGCCATGGCTGGCGACGGTGACACCGCCATTGCTAAAAGGGGCGGGGTTGAACACTGCACCGGAAGTGATCGGGAGAAAGTGACGGACAGGAAGGAAATAGTCCCGTCTGGGATATTATAAGCATCATAGATCGTTTCTCATTTTTTTCCCCCTTTTGTTTTGTTTCACCAATAGTTCCAAGCTTCCGGGTTCAAAATCTTTGGTTTTGAACCAAAAGGGTCAAGAAGTGGGGAGCAACTAAAATCCAAGAACAAATCCATTTTAAGGTAGCAACAAAACCGTAATGTTGTATTATCATAAGACCGAGGTAGATTCAATTTTAACTTCTTGCATTATATAAGCCGTAAAGACCCCCCCCCATTCGAATTCGATTCCAGACTTCATGAAGACATCCTCCGTATGACTAGCAGACACGACTTGCAAAACTCCAAAGGTTCATTAGAGGGCAGCAAAGAACTAGAGTGAGTTATCTCTTTGCGGTCAGCTGGTGGTCGTTTGGAATTTTGCGAGCCAATAGGTGGTATTTTCTGCTGTGACTACAGTAAATTACTAGACATAATATATTGTGTCGGCATCAAATTAATTTACTGTAAGAAAGAGAGTGTGCTAGGGCTTGTTTTAAAAATGTAGTCTCAACTGAAATAAAGTTAAGGTAAGATCTTTCAGAAATTAATCTTGCTTGAGGCCACTAAATCTGGTCTCCCAATAAATAATAGCAGAAATACAGAAAATTCTAACTCTGCTTTACATATTGGTCATTTCAGTATCTGCTAGCCAGATGTAGTAGCCTTAAGCAAAAGTAATTTCTAGATGGCAAAAATTTCTCTTTTGTTTCTTTTACAATAAATTCAATCTAATTAAACTTATTTGTTTTTTAATCTTATGTCTTTAACTGAATTATTTGCTTACTTATTAGTTTAATATCCAACCTTTCATCTAGAACCGAAGATGGCGTTCATAATGTTCCTTCCAATAATTATTCTCCAAAGCAATTAAACTGTAAGTAGTAATAACCTATAAGTTATTGACTTAGTTTACATATCACCCTACATTATGGTTTGTAAAACAAGGCCTACTATATATTGCATACTAAGCGAAGGAAATAAGTAGATTGACTTCCTTTACTTGATCACGGCTAATACTAGTACAGTATTGGAAGAATTGAAGCATTCCACACTGGTAATTTTTCACTCACCTTGATTGATTGATTGAAAGCTGCATGACTCCAAAACAACAATATATAACAATTTAAAAAGAATATATATATAAAAAGAAATGCATGAATGCCCATACACTCCGCTCTCCTCAACCATAAAATCAGACTCAGAATATCCTGGTTGTTCCACATAGGAATCTTAAAAACTCAAGTTTGAGCCAGCAAACACTTCCTTCCCATAAATAACATGAAGTAATGCAAAAAAGATATTACTACCAGTTAGCAGCATGCTGTCTCCCTGTCTTTAGCTTACCACTTTGATGTTTGCTGATGAAAGAACAAGCAAGCAACTGACTATTGCTTGCTAAAGTGCTTGAAAGAGGGTATTGATGAGACAGACATAACAGTAATGGGCAAACTGCCTATTCCTGAAATCTGCATAGATCAAGCAAGATTCAGAGTAGAACTTTTGCAAGCTGGGAATTTGGGTCAGTATTATTCAGGCAGAAGAATCTGAAAGAATGCATGAAAGGCAATATATAATAACTGGGTAGGAAAGGTCATGCCAACCACAGTCTAAGTAGCTAATAATAGCAAGGCTGATTCTAGCCCTTGGCTGTTTCATCAGCATCAGCATCAGTGCTGCATTACAGATCATTTATATAGCACAACCTGTATAAGAATAGCAGAACCTCTACTTAAATCTCAAATAGCTATCTATTATTTTGAGTTGCCTCCACCATGCTGGGGATGCATTGAAGCTAAAATTAACTTTAAAGGTCTTCTAAAAATAGTTAGAGGAGGATTGCACCATGGTTAGCAGGATATACAGATGAATTTCATTAAACTTGATCACAGCCATGACAATGTTAGGAAGTACCACAAAACACCGGGGACTTACATTAATAGGAAGTCTAAAAAGATGCATAGTGGTATAACGAAGAAGTGGAAAAGGGTGTTTGACAAGCTCCTGAAGCTGCTCACAATGAAGAAAGCTTAATTCTCATTGTCTCGATCAGATTTATTAAAAAGAGGTTAGATTGCAGAATCTTGAAAACTGATTATGGGCATTTTAGCATCCATTTATCAAGTAAGCTGCAAAGGTAGGGCCTCTTTGGTCCTTCTGACCCAGTTTATACCTGGGTCTTGATACAGAGAAGATTCTGCTACTCATTTGTCTGATAAGGAACTTAACAAATGTTCTGACCCTGAAATATTTTGCAAACTGCCATTCCCATTCCCAAGCATAGAAAATTCCATTGCACTGTGGGGGAGAAAAAAATGCATAGCTAAGAATGATTTCTGCAAAAAAAATTGGATGAGAGGAAGCTATTGTTTAATGCACGTAGAGAGAAAAATATAGTTACAAAGAATTGTAACTATATTTTAGATATTTTTATGTGATAGTGTCAGAATCCAATTATATTTCATCTTTAATTATCAAATATAGAAACTCCCAATTCTGCCATCTTTGGATTCTGCCATAAGAGGGAGAGAAGGGGGAGAACAAAGGGGCTTTATGGCCCTCACTTCCTTCAGTACACTTCAAAGAGCTGAATGCTGAATGTGTGTTTATTGTAACCTCGAAGCGTTAACATACCAAAAGAGGATATTTGCCTTTCATGTAGTTATCTGAAGTCTCCATCCAGACGGAAGAAAGAAGAAAGGGGGGTGGACTTGTGATACTTGAAACTATCACTGGAAGGGGGGTTGATTGGGTGGGACTACTGGGGAACCCCTTAAAACCTTGAATGGAAGAGCTTGAACCCCAAGTCCTGTCTAGCATGCCTGCAACCATTTTCTCTTAATAAAGGATTCCTTTTGGAAGAATTATTCCAAGAGTTCTGTCTTCTTAAGATGCAAAGTGGGGTGGGTCCTTACATTAGACAGGACTTGCAAAATTAATCCACCTGGAAGGGAGACCCTTGCCGGGGGATTTTGCAAAAAATTTACCATGTCAGACAATGGAGAAAGAGAGGGGGGAAACTCCCTGGGAAGAGAGCCGCTGACCCAGTTGGAATCTTGCCAGATGTTGGGATCTGAGAGGTCAGATTCCTCGGGAGAAGAAGTGGTGGAGACACAGGACCACAAGCCTCGCTGGTCGATGGGCGTTGGAAAGAAAAGTGAGTGGGGAAAGGAATCAAGAAAGGTGACCCTGAGACGGGGGACCAAGCAACCAGAATTGAAGCAGGAGATGGAGAAATCCCTGCACGCAAGTGAAGAGGGAGGAAGCTGGGCACCGTACTCAGACTGGATCCTAGAGAAAGCTATTGACCTGATGAAGAGAACTCTCAGCTCCCTAGGAGAGGGAGAATACTGAGCCCTACGGCCGCCCCAGTTCCTGGAGCCACAAAGGGAGAGACACCGAGGGGGACGTGGAACCTGCAACCCCAGGGACATCTACTGATCCAGGAGCCCCCACCCCCTACCGGACCACAGATGGCAATCTGGACGGAAGACACTACCACCCACAACGAGGCACCGATCCATTCCAAGACGTCCACCGTTGGAGGTGAAATTCAAAGGGGAGCCAACACGCTTGGGGTTTTTCCTAACCCAAGTCCTCAGCTACATGGAGGAATATGGGCAGGACATTCCCAGCGACAAAGCCCGCATCCGGATCGTGCAATCTGCCCTGGATGGACCAGCTGCGGATTGGGTAGTGAACTTGCATGACTCCAATGCCCCAGAACTCAGTAACTTCAACCGTTTCATGTCCTCTTTGAGAAGACGATTTGAAGACCCCCTGGCTGATCGCAAAGCCCGTGAAAGAATAACAACGATGAGGCAGGCAAACGCCCAGTGGCTGAGTATACACAAGAATTCCGGGCCATTGCCAGCAAACTGAATTGGCCAGAAGACATCCTCCTTGGCCTCAAAGACGGACTAAACTATGATCTATATGATGCTTGCCTGCCCCGAGGGGACCCACATCGACTTGAGGAATGGTACGTCTTGGCAGAGGAAGCAGAGATCGACATATTGAAGAGGCACCGCCGAGGAAAAACAATGGAGCCGCCCCCCGCCTGAGCTGACACACCAACCGGTGAAATCATCGGATACAGCCAAGAAGCAGATGGGGTGTTTCAAGTGCGGAAGAGCAGGGCATCGAGCTGTAGAATGCCGCTCAAAGGCCCCCCAGCACAACCCAGACAGATCCCCAATCAACAAACCCAGAGGGTATTCAGCTAAGCCAAAAGAAACAGCCATGAAAATGATGGAAATTGCAGAAAACCCCACCTCTGCTCACAAAGGGGAAAGAACTCCAGCCTACACCACAGGGACGGTGGATGCCTCAGATGACAGCTCGGAAGGCGAACCCCTGGTAAGTGGACGCATCACACCCATCTTCAAAACAGTGACTATATTAATCCCCCCCATGCCCGAAGCTGTGAAGGTGAAAGCCTTAATAGACTCTGTCTGCACCCGCTGCCTCATTAGCCCAACACTAGTGGGGAATCTGGGCATCCCATCCAGGAGACTGGAACAACCAATCTCATTTGGCCAGCTAGATGGATCCATAGCAGGGGGGGTGCCAGCTACCCTAGCCACTCTGTTGTCAATCCACCTCTCCCTGGAGCACCAGAAGAGGACTAACGTTTGTGGTGACTCCCAGGTATGGAAATGCCCCAAATGATTGCTAGGGATGGAATGGTTGAAAAAATGGAAAACCCCTGGGTAAAATTGGAGGACGACAGAAATCAAATTTCCCTAAGGGGGACCCTATGGACTTAAAACCGCCAAGAGGCTACCAGAATCAAGAATAGAAAAAGCATCCATAGGAGAGGAAACAAGATTAACAGAAATACCATAGGAAATATATGACCTTGCTTGAAGTCTTCATGAGGGAGAGGGCGAATGAGCTTCCCC